GTTAATTGGAATGCACAACGAGTACCACATTTCAAATTCCAGACAATTCCGAATGGGAACGCATAATTGTGATAACAAGTAAGGAGACATATGGTATGTCTTCACTTCAAATGAGCAGATATGTAATACAGAATATGAGAAAGAGAAAAGGTGAAGCATATTTTAATTTCTAACACTGGTCCTTTATAGTCATTCCCGCATCACTTTTCCAAAATTTCTCTGCTTAAAGATACTAATAAATACATAATGTACAACAATTATCATGTATTTATCGGTATCTTTAAGCAGAGAAAATAATGCAACGGATTAACTAACATGTTTACTTATTAAAAATGAACCTTAAAAATTAGCTAACAACTTAAATCAGGAGGTTTTTTCTCTAAACTATATCAAATGAAAGTTTCACATGTATTCAAGCATATGCACTGGGAACAATATTGTCCACACAACTTCTGATTACTATTTTTATAAAATATACATTTGCTGTAATTTAAATCATGAGAAAGTAAGTATAATATCAACTTATTTCTTTTGTCATACTACGGAAATTTTTGGCAACTGTATTATTTTCGGCAACTGCCCAAAGTAACTGTAGCATTCTAGCTAGCCAAATTAGCCAAAAAACAACTGTTTATTGATCATCACTAATGCAACGGATTAATTAACATGCTTACCAGTAAAAAAATGAACCTTAATAATTAGCTTCTTAAATCAGGAGATTTTTTCTCTAAAAAAAACTTTGTAATATTTCCCCGCAACTTTGTAATATTTCTATTTTTATAAATCCATCTCCACAAATCGATTCAAAACAAAGAGAGTTACTATAAAGCAAAGCTTGCTAACTGGAACGGTGACGAAATACTATTAAAATAGTTTAACATTTGGGAAAAGAAATCAATATGAAAGAGGGAAGAGTGAAGCATGTGCAGGTAAATGATCTTGGAGGAAACTAAAAAAAGGAAAGTACGATACTAAAATAGTTCATATAGAAAACTCCAAAAAGAATACGAAACAAACGAAATGCAAGTCTTTCATAACATGCACTTAATCACATTTCTCCATCAAATTATGAGCAACAAATTCCGATAAAAAAGAAATGATTTCACTTCTTGAGAAGATCATCGATGTCTTTCATCATACGTTTAGGTGAAGTTGTCGGTGCATAACGCTTCACCTGAAACACTTCGAGCGGTGAATTCGCAATTCACATAGAATATAGGATATAAGACAATAAAATGTACAAAAATATCCACATATAAAACTTATATGACAGCCTCCAATAGCAGATAATGACATTACACTTGCAATCAAAACTGCTTCCGTGATCCTACTAATTAGCGCGGGGACTACCAATTCTTATTGCTACATTTATAGATTTAGCATACACCTAATATAAAGAAAGTGAAATACTGAAACTCTCTAAAATTAACCAAAATAAACTTTCTTACCTGCCTATTTTCGCCTGTAAAAGAAAGCAATCATTAATCAACACCTTAGTTTAAGCACTACATATCCTTCGGAAGCAAAGTCAAGTGATCAAAAATGCATTGTACTAACCGGATGTCCTTCCCGGTCAATTAGAAATTTTGTAAAATTCCACTTTATACTGTCACCAAATAATCCACCCTTTTCATGCTTCAGGAAATCGAACAGTGGTGCTGCATTTTCACCATTGACATTAATTTTGCCATATAAATCAGGTTCGAAATGAAATTTTTCAGCAACAAAATTTTTCACTTCCAATTCACACTTTGGTTCCTAAAAATGTTAAGTTACTGGTTTTCCAGCCCATTTCTGTAATAAATTTTTTGTTTCAGTTTTCGTTAGCAGCAAACATCTTATCCTCTACAAATTGAATCACAGCATAACACATTTTAGTTTGATTTAATTAAGAAAATGTTTTATTCATTTTATCAACTAATTAAATTTCAAAAAAAAATCTTTTGAAGTGAAGTGATATTGATGCCAGCCGACTTCGGTTTTTAATCTACAGTATAAAAATTAAACAATAATTCTCAGAAATTATAGAAATATTAAAGAATTACTTAAAATCAACCAGTTGTTTGGTGAAGTATAAAGATGCATGTCGGCCATTTTTTTGCTATTTATTCTAGTAGTGAAATGAGTTAAGAATTGATTAAAATATATGGGACAAATGGAATAAATAGTATCAAGCGAGATTCTCTTTTTCTTATATTACTTCTGTTTCCTTACACTGAAAATTCAATTATGTTTTCCTTTCTTTTAACATCAAATACATTAATTGCATACATTCAAAAACATATCAACTTTAGCTTTACCAAATATGCTACATAAGAATTGCTAATTTAATCACTAATTACAAAAGTTATCTCATCACTCTTTAAGTTGCAAAATTCGCTAAATACGGCTATAAAATGCCATCAATCGCCGTTTAATCTATTTCACATATTAGCAGAATAATCAATGAACGACTACAAATTTCAGAAAAAACGAACCTGTCCACCAAACTGATTACACGGAAAAGCTGCTATTGCTAAACCTTTATTCTTATAGTGTTCCATCAGTTCTTTGAGTTCAGTATAATTGGAATTCGCCAGGCCACATTGCGATGCAACATTTACAATTACCAATGGTTTACCCCTGTCATATTAATAACTATTATTATTAAAAAATACACTAATCGTGATGGTGATGGTAACAGCTACCATAATCAAAGCAATTCATTTCGCCAGGTTGTAGCATCCTAAACTGAGCGTATCAACCAAAAAAGCTCACACTATCAATCCTTACTCATTCCGCCCAATGCAATTCGTTAGTAAAGCTACCATTAATCTACACCGATTAAAGTAATTATACCAATCGAAACTTATTGTCAAATAATTTAAACAATAATTATTTCAATGAATTTGCATTTCAGTTTTCCTGTCCCAAATGACATACTACTAGCAATTAACAAAATCAATTTTAAACTTAAATTGGTCGAACAATTTCCTTAAATTATAATTGCTATCATTTTTACATTTCTATTAAATTGTTTATGATTTTTGCTTTAGTGAAAACTAATCCACCGATCTTTGATTATCAATCCTTATATAGTCTGTTAATATATAATTTCATGAACAAAGAAAACAGCATGACAAGACCTACTGATTTACAAACACCCAAAGGGAGTGAATTCAGACTTATTTCATAATCCAAATTAAAACACTGTGGTCGAAATAATTTTTATCTATTAAGGTTTCGAAAGACAGGACAAATTAATTCATTAACAAACCGGTATTTTTCCAGCGAAACATCTTTTCCATCTGCATCCTTCACAGTAAAATCATAAATTGTTGTTGCTGAAGACATCTTCGCAAGCGATCGGTTAGTATTACTAGCACTGCTCCGGAATACTGTAAAAAAGATAAGGAGACTGAACAATTGAGCACAACATCATCGCAAAACGTCTTCGACAATAGCAAAGCTAAAAAGTACATTGTGTGGCAGATCTTATCATTGACAAGTTGCTAGAACAACCAATAATGCCCTTATAATTCATTTCCGCACTGCATTGATCGAGTAATACTCCAGATATTGTCCTCAAAAGCGAAATACAGCTAAATCAATTACAATAATTGCAAGAAGCAACGGACACAATTTTCATTAAAAATGGATATAAGCTAGGGAAGCTCGGATTCGTGAATTCAATTTACAATTCTCAACATAAGTATGCATTTTTTTCTGGATAACAAAAAGAGCATATTTACTCAGAATGTGACAATTAAATTTTAAACAAATTAAAGTGAATCAATCGATGCAAAGCATCAAATTAGTATTTACATAAGTTATCTCTTCTTCCAATCGTGATTCTTCCCTGATCAGTATCTCTATTGTTATGCACAAGAAAATTCTCACAGCATAATGATATCTAATAAGAGCTTCAATAATATTTCCCCTTTATCAAACGTTGAATTACGGCTATAGTTGGCGCAGTACTTGCCGTAGTAATGGCAAAATACTGAGCCCCTATGATAATCGCTTGCCTTGTATAATTAATTGGTTATCCAGATTATATTATCTTTCACCAGTATAATTAAGTAAAAAAATGTCCTACCCATTACTAAGTTTCGACTTTTAATCTCTGATCTACTGCAGCTTCTCTAAAAATCCAATCAAATTACGTCATTCAGAACAAATGCCACTGATTCCTTTAAATCCTTAAGTAAAAGAAAAGGGGGGCAAAAGATATCACCGACTCCAGAATGTTTACCTTAATGTCACTTCGTGCACTTCATAAATCCATAGTACTTTTAATAAGGATATGAAAACTAATTTATCAACTCACCTAAATTATCAGATTATGCATTGTAAATAAAATGAATAAAGAACAATAAAACATCAATATAAGCAAAAACAGGAAAGATTAAGCTGAGTACGATAGAAGAAGTACATAGACAATCTTCAGTTCTTTTGAGATATTCTTTAATTTTTGAGATAAGTTGATCATTTGACTTTTCCATCTTCTGCATCATATTAAAGAAGAAAACTGGACACCTAACAGTAATGAACATCTGAAGTAAATAGAAATTGGTAGAATTATAACCAAGGCCATAAAAATAAATGCGCCATAAATGAAAGGACAAAACTGATGTTAAACACGATTACAGCCTTCCACACTATTTATTTCCATTAATCAGTGATTCTATATTATGCTTTATTGCCATTGATGAAGTAGTTTTGTAAAGAAGTAATAAGCCTTACTTTAAATTATCTCATGTACTTTAAAATTTCCGATTAACTCCGCCATCATTACCTAAATCCACAATCATAATGTGTTAATATGACATTTGAAATAAGGTTATTGGTTGGTTTTAGCGACAGATAAGTAATTTACGAAGACGATACATTTACTATAATAACTATTTGGAAATAAAAGCTGGATAACAATCGACTTAAGCCATGTTTGCTTTTCGCAAAGAAGGTTTCGATAACAAAATTTCTGAAATGACCGAAATTTGCTTATCCGATGTCCATCTTGGTTGATGAGAAATTTCATGAAATTCTTCTTGATCTTCTTCAGCTTAATATGGAAAATTCATAAAAAGAATAAAAGAGATGGATTTTGAAAGTTAAAGGGGATTTTTAAAAAAATCAAAAAGCAATTTCCACAACAGAAAGCCACTTCAACCATCTAAGACGAATCTCACCCAAAACTACTCCATTTCTATTAAATTAAAAGCCAGAAAAATGAAAAGATTATACCTGCGACCCGAACTGATTACATGGGAATGCAACAACGACGAATCCTTTATCCCTATAGAACTTTTGCAAATGTTCAATCCCCCTATAGTTGGTATCGCAAGATTACAATATGATGCGGCATTAACAATTACAATGGGCCTCCCTCTGCAATAAGAAGAATAAACATATATAGCAAGAAATAAAGAGAAAAATATGCTGTGAATATTTACAACAACGAAGAATAAGGTAAAAAAGTTGTCATATTGGTCCACATAATTTTCAGAAATTCTGTATTTCAAATGCAATCTTTCATATTCTGTCCCCTGCCTTCCTTTGTTTGCCGTTACAAAAATAAATGACTAATTTACACATACAACAAACCTGTATTTATTCAATTTCACTTTCTTACCATCGACATCTTACATCGTAAAATCATATATCATATATCTGATGCAGCTTCAGTCCCCGGAAATAGTGTAGAAATACAAAATTTCCGTTCTAATTGCACGGAGTCCACGCCACTTCGTTTATAAAAGTATAACAGTATCAACTTCACTTCTCTCTACATAACGTAAACACAAACCTGAAATAAACAAACATGCCAATAACCAAATTAGACCGCACAAGTCCCAAACTACAAACAACTCCTGCCCACCGCCGCGCTCCCGTCCAGGGGCCGCGGTTAAATAAGCAGCACGATATGAGAACCAGTATGAAAATTTTGATGATTTATAATTGAAAACGGAAATGTAAGTATCAAGAGGGAAGTATAACATTTTCATAGTAATATCTTAACCATTTTGAGACCGACGTGTTAATCACAAGAAAAATGAACTGATATAATATGTATGGGAAATAGGATAGTCGGATAGGTAACGAATATGGTAAATTGATTTGTCCCGAGAAAATAGCCCCGTTCCGATCCTTTCTTCTTGCCTCACTTCCCGTTCCTCCTCTCCTCCGTTACTTATTACTTTTTACTCATTACTTTTCACACATTTCGAATTTCCTAATATTTGCTGTTGTGCAATGTACCGTAATACTTACTGTTAGATCTCTTCTGTTATTAATGGAGTAATTAGAATAAAATCGAGTGGTCACCATAATAATTGCATTTGTTATAAAGGTTATATAGGTCATTCATTCTGAGAATAATCGGGAAGAGAAGGTATGTAGAAGGATCCATATACATATACCTTGCGCAATAACATATATGTAACGCGTTGAGCATCTGTTGCTGAGTGAAGAATTGGTTAGCGGATGAGACATAGAAATATAACAAAATGAATAATAACTAATTATGAAGCTTTATCATAATTAACAGAGATTAGGAAAAGAAAAAGGAATAATTTTAGAGTATTTTATCTTTAAGCAGCACGCAACCGCTCTGTAATTTCTTCCTTCTCTTTTCGATTAAACGATTAATAATAACTTAAATCGGTATAATATTTGACTAATATGATAGCTCTTAAAAATAATTTGGTCTGGACGGTGGTCATTAAATATAGAAATAACAACTGGCTAACAACAGCCGGATTTCTAATGTCTGCTATTAAATTTACGAATAGTTAGCCTATTCGGTCATTTATTCATTGATATTGATGATAGAGATGATGCTAACTCTATCATTCAAAAAAATTCACCTCCAGAAGAAACTTAAGGAAATTGATTACCCTTTATTTGATCTTTCCTTCTAATGTCTTATTGGTAAATGATCACATTATGTTATCAAATATTCACTGTGTTTTCATATTACAATCATTTCTTCTCTCTTTTCTCTTTAGTGATACGAATTCAGTCGCACAATCAGAAGGAATACAATGCACATGAGGGTTGGGATGGTTTAATGTCGTAATTATCTTAGTGAATGAAGTTTTCATGAAATTTCCTTCGAATATTTTAAAAAATGTTTGATGAATTTATTGAAGCGAGGAAATTGGAATGGAACAGGGATAGAAGTGATTTAAAATTTGCTGATTAGAATGAATGATTAGAAAGAGATGAGAGGGAGACGGTCATTTTTAGCATAGTTGTAGTAAAGTTTTGGCATGGAAATACCGAACTTTGTACGTTTCTCTCCCTTTTTATCAGCCAAACGTATTGTTTGACCTTGCGCAAATTTCACAACTCATTAGTAATTTCCACTCTCCTTTAATTCTCCTTTAAATAATGATCACACAGACATATAAATATATGTATATATATATACTCAATTATTGTACTATCTGTAATTTCTCAACATCAAACTTTTTTTATTGTTAACCTTTTTCATTAAATGAATGTTTGATAAAATTGAAAAATGAAAATGAATAGTTTTGAAATTTAAGAAAGTATACTGCCGATTAAAGTAGCTATTTATTGAGCAGTTCATTTTTACTGTGCAAGGTATGTTAATAGATGTTAATTTTTAATTTTTTCATTTTTTTTAAATAACTCTTCCTATCAATGGCACTGACTGCATTTAGAGAAGAAAGTTAACAGTGCCAGCTGAAGACATCAATCATTGATAATTGCCTTTAGCTGATAATTGCCTAAAGGCGCCCTTTGTATAAATCATCTTTGATTTTTAGTAAATGATAACTTTTTCTTAATGATAATATCGCAACATAGAAAGAAGTGATACTTCCAATTAGCAATACGAATGCTTACTCATTTGAGCAAAATACCTTCAGGAGTTTTTTTCTTTGACATAATTTACCTATTATAGATGCATAACAACAAATATATTTCATATTATCATTGTGCCATCGATGGAGAAAAGTTTGCAACTAACTGCTCTCTTCCCTTTCTCTTATCCCATCATCAAATAGTCGTCAAATTAATTTCAGCATTTGATAGAGTATTACTGTTTGATGGTGAAATTAATTTGCTTGATGAAATGAAAATATCCCTAATTTTTTTTATTTTTATGTTGTGAATTATAATGTTGTTCATGTAAGGTGACAGTTTGCCCTCGTTAGATTTTCCGAAAATAAAAGAAAACTTGTTTAATTTGAATGGTTAAGAAGGAGATTAGTGTGATATAATTATTACCTTGCCAATTGTTTACATCTTTCCTAAGACATATATGTCTATGGCAGCTTCTTCTCTCTCTCTCTCTCTCTCATCATCTCAATTATTCTTTTTTCTTTTTCGAAAAGTTTTGCCATTTACTTTTAAAAAATGACAAATTTATTTTCAGTTGAACGAGATATTTTTTTTAAATAACACCTGGAAAATTCATTGCTACTTCGATTTCAGCCTTTTCTTTGCAACTGTAATCATGTCCTTGAAATTTTTGCATATGAATAAAGAACATTAGATTGGTTTCGGTCCTTTGACAACTTTATGTCAGATAACGATAACGTTTGGCTTTATAAAACAAGCAAATAATATTGACTATTCGACCCATTCATTAAGCTTGCAGTGATTTTGGTTAATATTCAACGAAATATTTTTTCCAAGATGTTTTTAGAAAATAAACTCTACCTGTGCGGATGATTGCCTAATTGCTATTAGCTTTGTTATGAATGATTAATTTATTGTCTTGAAATGCTCTTGAATGTTTTCGACTTAGATAATTCCAAGAAAAAAAAATGTTTATTCATTTATTTTATTGCTTGCTTATTACTCATTTGTTTACTTGTTCGTCCACTTACCTTTTTGTTTACTTATGCCTATTTATGCAATACAATCGTAATTTATCTGTCCACCTGCATAATTATCCATCTTCTCTATATAATAACCAATTATTTAAATTAAAGTTAACAAATAAGGATGGTAAAGTTGAGGTAGACAAAGACCTTGATGAGTTAATGATGTTTGTATATTTGTTAGGCTGTTCAAATTTAAACGTGCTAATGCCCATCTATAATTGCAGAGCATCTATAAAATACTAAAATGTTGTTGTTGAGATGAAATTTCAATATATATATATATCTTCATATATTTCATGATGTAGAAGAGTGAATTTTAGAAACAGGTAAGGCTAGAGGAGGACAACGAAACTAATTTCGATTACATAGGGTCGAGAAATGAGAAATATTATGTTGTCATTAGCTTAGGCTTAATAAAATTGTGGAAAAAGTAATATGATATGATTATTCACTTCTTTAATCATTAATTACCATAATTAACATTCCATTGATAATGAACATGATCACATATAACATCTGTAAATTGGAATAATAAGATGAATAATTAGAGGTATTCCTTAGAGTACCATATAAAAACAAATATTCATCCATCAATATAATTCAACCAGGTTTAATCAGTAACAACATCAGGAATAACAACAACAACAGAATATAAATAAAGCTCTTCTTCATTCGTTCTTTTCCTCCCTCCTATTTACCCTTTTCACCCCTTCTTCCCAGAGATATTTAAGAAAGAATGAAAGAAGGGGTGAAGGGAAAGAGCTGTTGATGATTACCGCAGGTATCATCCATCTGTAATTGTCTACTACAGTTAGTTAGTTATTCATTCCTTATTGTTCAGTTTCTCAAACCCTAATTAATTTTTTTCTCCTTTATTTAATTTAAAAAGTAATGAAATAGTGAGAAAATTCTTCAGTTTTTCTATACACAAATATTGTCCGGACTATATTTATCACCGCACCAATGATATTTGATCGATTGTCACAATTGACATTTCTTCTTAAAAAATAAAAAGGATTCTTGATTTTCTTCCTTTTCTTACTTTTTTCGAAAATTTATAAATTCATCTGTGAATTTTCTTAAGGTAAAAATACATTGAAATCTTTTTCATCGCATCATCACTAACTGTAAAAGCAATCTAAATTTCAGTTTTCTTTCTATTCTCAGAAGATTCTGCAAGCAATGAACTTTTTTCTTCAGAAGGAATAGATGTACCACCCGACATCTCTCTACTACTCCGCGGTACCGTCATGTACAGACAACAGTTGCATTGATTTCGGAATTTATGGTATTGAACAGAATGACTGTTGTCTCGATCTGAACTGTATTGAGCCATCATTGGTCCCTGAAGAACAGCAAGCATACACCTATGCTACTGTTGCATACAATACTGGCAGTAGTAGTGTTAATGATGCAGTGATCGATAATACAGACCAGGTGACCAGTCGGACTTCACGTCGAACAATCAAGAAAAAGCGCACGAAAAAGGATCCAAATGAACCCCAAAAGTAGGATTTCCTCACCTCCACCGAATTTTTTCTGAACCGTCTTAATTTCAACTTTTTAATTCCGAATTTCACCAAAAAATGAATTTATTGGTATTACGGTAACGATGCGAATGAGTGTTTTAATAATCTTTTGTTAAAGCCAGCAAATTCTTTTCTCCATTTCAGGCCTGTTTCAGCATATGCTTTATTTTTTCGTGATACACAAGCTGCCATAAAAGGAAGGAGTCCAAATGCCAGTTTTGGCGAAGTATCGAAAATTGTTGCATCGATGTGGGATTCGTTAGATTGTCATGCAAAAAATGTTGGTTTCACTTAGTTTTTGCACTAGAAATTTGGATAAGAAATTAAAATTTTGAAATTTGGAAAAAAATTTTCTTCAAATTTTCGGAAACACAAGAAATTACAAAATTGCATTTTTTTTCAGTTGTACAAACAGAGGACAGAAATGGCAAAAAAAGATTACCTGAAAAAACTTGCTGTCTATCGTGCTCAGCAAATATCGCGCGTAAGTTAAACTTCTATAACTTGTCATTGTAAGCCTTGCTACAAGAGATAAATTTATGTTTATTAGTTAATTAGGAAATAACGCATAATACATAGAAATCGAGAATTTTAGAAATTTATTCTAGAATGAAACAGTTCAACCGATATTGGTGTCGGAAAAAGGAGGACCACCAGCAGTGGAAACAATGAATTCCACAAGCTCATCAAGCTTAAAGCAAGAAGTATCTACTGCAATAGGTGAAATGACCCTGGCAAATTTGATTGCCCGTCCACCATCAACAAACTTTCCGTCGCTTTACCTTAATCAACGGTTCGTAAAATTGAATTTATAAAAAGTTCTTTTTAATCTAAACTTCTTAATCTATTTCTTTATTTCTAAGATTTAAGGGATTATCTTCCTCCAATTTTGAAGATTTTATCTTATTCTGTAGGACACTTCAACAAGTGTACCAACAGAAATCAAGCTCTTTTATTTTGTAGAGGCATTTTTTCGGATTCCCGTTCTTACCAGAATCTGTATCACCTTCAATCTTTTCCTTATATTCAACTAGAAGGAATAGTTTCCTATTTTCTTGATCAAAAACTTTTATTCATTTTTCACTGAACATTCTGTTGCATTTGACTTTGTTAGACTTTAAAGCAAATTGCTTCTCTAAATGTTATGGGCATCAAATTGTCTTTCTTACGAATATTTCACATTAGATTCTGTTTCAGGAAATAGATTTCAAATTTAGTTCTAAGAAAATTAATTTCAAAATTTTAGTTTGAATCAAAAAATGGAAAAGAACATCACTGGCAAAACATAATAAGGTATGGAAGCAATGGATCAAGGGAGTGATCTCAACCAGAAAATGTCTGATGAACTGACAAATACTTCCAAATCAATTTTATCTGTTTTATTTCATGACTTCTCCTCTGAATAACTCACTGTTCACTAAATTAGCCAAATTTAGTGAGCATACTTTTATTTTATTTTTAATGAAGTGAAGAGCTGAGAGAAACTTCCTATTGCTTTAAAAGTTTTTACAATCTGGTTAATACGTTACCGTCGTTGGCTTCGTGATACGGTAGACTCTTCTAAATCCCGCCGAGTGATCATGGCATTAATTCCCGGACTTAAGAGTAACCTTCTAATTCATTATTTTGTGTTGTGCACTTTTTTGCTCCTCAATGAATCCGTTTGACTCGTTATTTTTAATTCTGAATCTTCCCTTCCTTATGCTAATCCAATGATATTCTTCGATTCTGAAAAATACTGCAACTTACTGTCATTATTTTGAATTCGTCGTATCATTTTTAACTTCCGTCGATTGGTATTCCATACTTTAGCTCTAACTGCCAGGATATTTCATACAATCTCAGATCTGTAGGAAATTTGCATATGAGTTAATATAAATTTGAAAGCCTCACATTTCATCTACATTCTTTGATTTACTTAACTGAAGCGCAGTACTGAATTCGCTTACTATAACTGAAGGAATGAGTTCGGGTAGAACTGAACCATTACTACTCGATTCCACTCGGTCCTCACAAAGATCTTCTTGCCAACATCTATTAGCTTCTGTCGGGATATTAACTAGTAATCTATCGAATACATATAACGTTACATTTTTAGGCCTTTTCCATTCATATTTTATTATTTTCAATTTTTCGCCGATATTTCTCACATCTTCGCATACTCATACTAGCAGAGAAGTTATCAAATGATGAAAATATTTTTAACTGATCTATGAATCGGAAAAACTTTAGCACTCCTTTCGTCTAGTTTTTCTCCGTTTCTAGTACTTTCAATGATGTAAATCAACATCCGACATTACTCCATCAATATACAACATTCGGCTTCGATTCCATCTCGTTAATCATTGAAATAGTTGGCATTATAACTACTGTAACTACATGTCTTATGATGCATTTCATTCTGAAAAAATCCTACGAAGATATCGACCGGCCAACATTTCATCATATAATCCATGAACAATATTATAGTAAACAACTGGATGAATTTTTAAATGAACAAGATAGAAAGAATGAGACGGTATGTGATCTATTTTCGTGAAATTCGCACATGAATATTTGTCTTATACATTGAAAGTATGCATAAGGCATTTTTTTCAGAATACGCGGTTTGCAAAATTCAGAAAATTCGAAACAATTTGCCATAATTTTGAGCTTTAAATCGTCCAATTTCCAAAGAAGTTTTTCATCTCTTGAAGCCTTAAATATTCCGAAGTTTTGTTTCCATAAATCAGAATATCCCAATCAATACCTTAACGAATTTTGAGTTTCCTCCCTCGTTCAAATTTTAAATCAATTGAACTTTCCAACTGATGTTTTAACTATTGCAACTCTGCATTTTAAATTATAATATTTGCATATTTCAGCGAAAATTTTAAAGTTTAGCATATATTTCGTTTTCTTTTTAATATAACAGTGACATTTGTACTTTCTCCTAGCACAGAAATATTTAAATTCTCGGAAACAATCGTCCATTTCATATCAGACAGTTTCTCAGACTTACAGCAAGCAACTAAGAAAGTATCAACTGAACAAAGAAAAACGCAAAACATGGAACAAGCGGTAACGTCCTCTTCGAGACAACATCAAGTTTCAAGATAATTTCTCAAAAAAAAATTTCCAACCTGTATAATTTCGGAAATGGAACAAAAAAGAAGGGTCGTGAAAGTTTTCACAAAACTTTTTGAAATTTCCAACGCAGTAAAATAGATGAAGCTGGCTAAAATAGCTATGAAGTATGCAAAAATATATTGTTTCATCAAAACAATGCCAATTGCACGATGTTTCCAGTTCTCCAAATCATCCACGTATAATCGAATTAATAACAGTCACGCTAGAAAGTGTTGGCGTTACATGAATATTTTTTTATTTTTTGCCCTTACGCCTTCTAGTTTTCAAAAATATATTTTCATAGAGTCTAACCCTTCCTTACCTGTAGCGAAACCCGAAGCTTTAAAACGAAATTTGATATAAATATTCTCTAATTTCCAAACTTCAATTATTTTGAAAGTAATTCTCCTAACAGAATCTTCAATATCAATGAATGAAAGTAATATGGTTATATCTTCAGTTGAAGATATATACACCAATAACCATAATATCAGTTGCATGAAATGGAAATTTTACTTCATAAAATCAGCGTACTATCGATAAAAAAGAAAGATAAATTTCATCAAATGGATAAAAAAAAGAGCAACGATAGGTGAAATTACTCAAAATTTTTTGAAATTTAGAAAATTCTATTTGTGAACAGATAGTAACAGTACAATTATTGAATTGAATGCGAAAAAACTATAACATAAAAGAAAAAAATAGAAATATATGCTGTGAAATACTTACTCGGATAGCACAATGCGCGCAAACAAACGAGAAGACCATTATTACCAGAGATTTTTGATAACGATATGAAATGTAAAACGGTTTGAAGACAAGTTCGGAAATGCTTCCGTTTTCCAAGTCATAACACAATCTACCCTAAACAGAATGACCAAATGAGTCAATAGCTGCAAGTGATTCAACAAGAGACCAGGAATCGAATAACTTTGTGTATAACCATTTTTGCATAAAGTGGTTTCCGCATTTTATAAGTGTTTATTATACTTTAACATTATATATAATTTGATTCTGAAGTAGCATCCTAATACACACACGAACACAATTTTGCTTTTTATGTCTTAAAATAGTATTATGATTCCGACTCTGTGACAAATCGATGGTCCGAAATAACAGAAATTAAAGTTGTAATTAAGCTCTGGTATCTCAAACCTGCTCAAAATGCCAAGGACTCGAAAAAGAGAAAATTTCAGAAGAGATGTAACACAATGTTTTGAGGCACAACTTTGACGGAGGGACTTATCCACCTTATAAATCAAGAATAGCCAATCCCACATTGAAAAATGAATATATATCTCAGGATTATTAAAAGGAAATTTACAGTAAAGATCAATCTCCCCTATCTCCCGGACCAAAATGGTTCTTAACAAATATAAACTTTTTACGGTGCACCCGTTATGATTTGTTGAAAATTGTTAAATGAATTTTGTTTACATTCGAAATACCACAAAAAAATAATCGCTGCTAAAAAGATAAGAATCAAAGACAAATCTTACAAATCTGATATTATTAAATGAACCTCCAAGGACCATATAAGAATTGATTTCAATTTCCTCTTCGATAATATCAATTTCCTTCTTGAAACTTGCGAATGAAAAAATTCTGTTTAAATGAAGGATCACAAATCACTGCAGTATTAATTACAACTGAAAATGCTGTGTAATAGCTTCCACAACGTATAACATAATTTCTAATGCTGGAAAAATAAAAACTTGTGATCACATCTACATGGTAGTGAGTAAATACCAAAGCTAAGCCAATGCCCTAATTGCAAGTTTTATTTATTCTGAAAAAAATTATTTAAAATACCGTTAAAATTTGTTGAAATTTTTAATGGTTTATAAAAGAAAATCTATCGAACAAAAAATCTCTTCTCGAAACTTCTCTTTCACAATAAAAATTTATATAAATGAATGAAATGTGATTCTGTAACCGCAAATTTGCGCGAACCAAAAACTTCCAACTTTTTTCATTTTGAGAAAAATTAAAAAACTTGAGCAAGTTATTTCAAATTTATCAAGAATTTACATAAGTGGATGAAATTTGGTACTATTAAGTGAGCAAAACACAAAAAATCGCTACTACATTTTTTAAATAATCACTTCAAACTAACAACCAGATACTGAATTCAAAAATAAAAAATACAGTAAAATAATTTAATTATCATAAGATCATAGAAAACTATCACTTCCATTGTTATAATATTGTTGATATGTTTCAAGAAATTACAGGAAAACTGGTATAATAATAACTAGGAATTTTTATAGTTAACGCATCAGTTCACCATATCATTGAGGATATTACCTTAAGCAGAAAGTAAACCTTAATTACTAACAAAGGGGCAAGAATTTGCTGATAAAACTGTCAATGTCATAACAGATTATAAATGATAACGAAATTATACTGTAGCATAATTTATACTTATCGTTTTTCTGATAACCCGACTCAGGATAATCCTTAAATCCTCACGCATTTCGCACTCCACTAAACGACACATATTCAATGCATAGTCTTGACCAAGATCGATGAGCTAAAACAAAATGATAAATGAACTGAAAAATAATGCTAGGAATCATACTTAAAGTTCTGAGAAAATATAAATATTTCATCGATTTGTTAGATTTTTCAATAATTTCAATTATCTCAAAACTGATCATTAATTTTGTAATTTGAAGTTCAATTCGTGTTTCATTTAATAATTCATTTAATCGAAGTACATTTCAAGTTACTTGAAAGCATTGTAACAACCACAGGAACGTTAAGACAGCATCAAAAAATATCATTTTAAATTAGAAAAAAATTTAGTCTAGTTGTTTAACAAGATGGGGAGGGTATCTAAAACTTCAAACTCATCTCATTTTTCTTCATTCATGTTGTTAGTTACCTGCGTCGAAGAAAATTCATCCGTTTTTTCTAGCAGTAAATGTACTACTGGGACCCAGGCTTGTCGATGTTGCTCGGATTTTAATTCTGAATAGTAATCGAGTGCATTTTCTACCACCCTTCAAAACATTTTGCTGATTAAAAGAGTGGTGAAAAATAGATTTATATTAAATCATCTCTATTCCAACTTCTTTGATTCCATTTAAAAATTTGCAACCTTATTTGATAAATTTAACAATATCGATTATTCAACCAAAAAGTGAAGCATAAGAAATACTAGATTTCATCTGCGACATGTCTAATTTTCATTTCAGTCTCCGTCACGAATAACGGCGAAGCCATTGTTGAAAGAAATCGGATACATATGTTAGAAATTAATCAATAAAATCAATCGGTTGTATGCGAACCTTAACAATTTCATTTTGATATCAGTTTTCTGCTGCACTGATGTTCTTCCAACATCAGTATATAATCTATACAGTATGTTAAGGGCAGTTCGTACGCTACGTGTTTCTTGTCTCAAAAGATTCGGTTTACTTCGACCTAAAAATACGTTTATATTTTACCATCGTATCGCTGCATGATTTACCAAATATTTAGAAAGGTTTTTCCATGCAGGATGTTTTAGTGTCTCACTGTTTTGAGTCCAAACTGAAGAGCACTACTTTCATAAGTTGTCAATTGTTATGGAATGAAGTTGAAAAACTCTCTAATCAATCCTTTATGAGAACTTGGCAGTAGGTAAGAAATAAATTATCATTATTTGGAAGAAAGTGAACAGAAAAGCGAGAGACCAGTTTTAGGAAGGAAGAAATTATAAATATATCAAAATGAAGATTTCAAAACAAAATGAAAATTTCCAAATACAAAAATATAATTAGGATCAGCCATGTGACGGGAGCACAGAATTTATAGTGTTCTTTCAGTGTATTTGGCAGTTCTTCTTGTATTTCGAAAGAATTATTAATGAACCTTTAAAACCGGCTTTCCACAATAATGTACGTTGAGCATTGTTGCCATTAAATTTTTGAGCAAGAATATGAGAATCGAGAAGGCATTCAACTAGTCGCATGAGATGATCCACTTCTGCAATACAATAAAATGACCACTTTTCACCTATGAAATGACAAGTTGGAAACTTTGTCACGTGAACAATGCATTGTTTTAAGTTTTAAAAAACTTGTGAAAGGTCTAAATGATGATTGTAAAAACCATTAAAAATTAAGTTGCATTCCTTTGAGGAACAATAACAGAAAAATCTTTAACAAAAGGTATTATTATGAAATACGGTGGTTTTTTCTGAATTTATGAGAAATCATGAAAACTATGTATTGTCCTTAGAGAAGTTTCGCGATCTTATAAAGTTGCTCAATAAGAGCACTATTTGTAAATAATTATAAGATGATACCAATATATTTATAGAGGCCTTCATCCATTATCTCTAAAGTCCCGTTCTCCATATTATCAACAACGTCATGTTTAAGATTTCCATTTGCCAGTTTCTGTTCAACAGGTTTACCCTCTGATTCCATTTTTGCTTTTGTAGATGAAATAGCTTTTGTGCTCATTTCATTCTTTAAAAAAACTATTGCAGAAAGTGAACGACACAAAGAAACATCAAAAACAACAGATAGACTTATATGAAAGATAATTTAAGTTTCAAAATATACTTCAATCAAAAAAATTAACCTTTTTCGTAGATTCCTGCCCAAATATAATACTACTTACAGCATCGACCAATTCCAGTTGCACAACACATCGAACTAGCAACGTTGTAAACAGTGCATCACTGCTGCTGCAAAACACACTCTTAACTGCAGCACAAATTGAAATTTAAAAAACATTAGATCTTTTATGACATAGCTTCGGATAAATAATTTTCTGAACTCGGAATAAATTATTATGATTAAGAGACATTTCAACTAAATGCTTCGAGGAACTGTAGTATATAATACACCTACTTTCTGAAGATTTTTTAACCAAATTTCACTTATAAAAATTCAAACTCAACTGAATTAATCTGAAAGCGATCATTAGGATAGAAGAAAATGTAGTGGTAACCTTGAACTAAATACTCTTTGATAAGTACCATCATTATGCGCTTGGTAATCTTCACCATTTGGTACGATATACGTATTTAAAACATCTTCCGGTTCCCATGTAAGCAGCCTGTTAAAAATTCTCACTTTAAGGTTTTTAAACTTCTGGCTTCCAATCGTGAAATCGCGAAATTTAAATCATTAAGAGCTTTTTTCGAAGTCAAAACTCCTATCTATCAAAATATCTTTATATTCATTTATGTTATGAATACAATATTATTCGGATCATTCTATTCCTCCAACTTATTATAAAAATACTAAAGGTAAAACATTACCACTTACGGAAGAAAAAGTTTTTCAATTCCACTACCCTTATACAGAAAGAGAGCTAAAGTGACTAAGAAAGGAATATTATGAAAGCATTTTACCAAATACTGTTGGTGGATATAAGTTTATAATTAAATGACAAAGTTATCATGTAATACAAGAACAGCAAAAAAGCTCACGAATGAGGAAGTATTATATTAAAAATATTAGCGATTAAGATAATCGTTTCATTCCACATTTGAACTGTAAATTTGGAACCATTGAGAAGAAGCAAACTTTCTAGGCAATTAATTGCTGAACGAGCCAACTGTTCATTTTCTAAAGTGGAAAGTGTTCAAAATTGCATGAATATAGTTCGCTGTGCATTATGGCCTAAATAAGTTAGACTAACACAAGTTGATTAAATTTTGCAAAAAATAAAACAAAAAGTTCACAAGTTTCTAGAGATCAATATATGAAATATCTAATACTATTCCAATAATTTTAAAGTAGCAACAATAACACCTTGTTGTGCGCACCAGTATAACTGTTCGTAAATATTGGTTAATAAAATTGTTGATAAAACTGGATAATATTGAGTGAAGACGTCAACAACGGCATAAAGAGCATGGTTGCATGTTGTTCGCATCCACTCTCGTTTCTGAAACAGAAACATTCTTAATTATCTTTATTGTTTAACCACGAAGATCTATATTATACATTTACACTTGCTTTTTTCTAAGCGAACATGTAGCATATCGGACTGTTAGAATTCATCAAGCGAATTCTACAAAAATGAATTACGTTCACCTCATTTTGCTCCTCAGCCAATTTCATGACATCGAAGATTCGAAAAGCAACTTGGAACAAATCTTTCCACCATTCATTCTTGAATTCTGTCCCGAAAGTTTTCATAATTTCGAACATCACAGTCAAACTTCTGTAAGAGTAATATCATTAAATAACAACAAATGAAATTGTTCAATTTGAAAAATGAATTATGTTAACTTTCTTCTAAATAAAGTGTAATGCAATTGATATTTGATATTTTTTAAGCTTAAAATGTTTCCAAATCAAATAGATAAGTTATATTGGCGTATAAATAATTATTGTAAAAGTTTCAAGCAAAATAATTTTTACGAATCAAGATGTTTGCAGAAATATGTAAATTCTTTTTCCTCGCACCAATGATCAATTTTTGCTGGAAACTAATCACTAATCATTTATTCTAATCTAAAATAATTCTTGACAAAACTTTTTAGTACCATATCGTTTAAAAATCTTTTTTGATACATAGCTGACACCTATTAACGGCATTATAGTATACAAACAAGGCAATCACCTTTACAACAACTCACAATATAGTTATTTACCGACTAATTTTAACCTGTTAGTAAGTTAATTCATAAGAGAAGAGGAGACCGAGATATACCTTGTTCTGACGTCCAATTTACATCTTCCAATAATACACGACAATTCAAACATGATTGGAAACCATCCACGTAAGAAAATCCGTTGGGCATCTTGCAAATTTGCGCTATCCTCCCATTGATGCTCTATGAACTGATGTTGATTGCTTGAAACATAAGCTGCACAAAGTCGTATTAGCCGAATCGCTTCCATGGATATATCCGGAAAACCTGTATTACACGCGAATTCTGACAAACATTTGATGGCATCTTGAAATGAATCCAATGCATTGCCAAATTCTGCAGCAAATACCGTAGCTGAAAATACCTTGTTGCTTTTTAGAAATTTCCTCATTTATCCACTGCATGTCTCAATTTCCGAACTTTTTTAAAACATTTGCAAACTAACTAATTATAAAACTGGTCGTAGTAAATGCACTTTCAACGATTCCTTCATCGCTTAGACTAGCTGCCATCGTAAAAACGGAAAAAACGTTTTTCCAGCCGGATATTATTTTGTTATAATGTGTGTTTACCATATGACTGATACATTCGACAACCAATTCCCGGGATTGGAATGCTCTGGAAATTTTCACTACTCATTTGCCCAATTTCCCTTTTTCAGAAACACTTTTATTTATTCAAAGAAGCTCTACAAAGATAAAGATATTTTTTTGAAGAATGACAATCGTGAAATATGCTAATAAGTATGAAAATAACCAAGTTAAGGTATATCTCAGCCTTGTAATGAGGAAAGTGGAAAATCAAATGAAAACCGGGAACAATACATAACCTGTTCCTGTTCATAATAATCTCAAATGGTCTTAAAAAATCCTTTTGGAAACGGAAATTCGGCAATTCTCCTCGTTCCAGAAATTTCATCGATAACTGCCGTAGAGCATCAACAGCAAAATGTGATATATTTTCATTTGCATTACAGCCTGCCTAAAAAATTTTTGGAAATTTAATATAAAGCAAAATTAAATAAACCAAATATATAAAAAGAGAGTAGCATCTAATAATAGTTCGCAAAACAAAGGAATTTCACCTTGTTAAAATGCTCTCCTAGAATAGTCCATATTCTAGACCACTGCAAACGGATACGATTCATATTATAGAAAGATATTTCAACTATTTTCTGTAACATAAACATTCGTGGATTACCACCCGCTGATAATTCCTCCTTCGAAACTTCACATAAAGCTCGCACAAAATGTACAACAGCATCACCATCCAATCTTGACGATCCTTGAAATATCCTGAAACTCGAGAATTTGTTTGATGAGAGTGCGGCAAATCAAAAAAGATTAGATAAAATAAGCTTTTAATATCCAGAAATTGCGCTAAAAGAGAATTCAATTTAATGCTGGAAAATATTGAAGAATGATAATGAATGTACTAAAAAATAACCACTTTTAATTACCTATCGACAGCAACGACAACACTCTGCGAGGTAGTTTCACCCAAGCATTCTTGCAACATCCGTTCATCCACGTGAGCCGTACTTTTCAGCCCATCTGTAAAATTCCAGGATATAATCTACTTAAAAGAAAACGTTTCCTTACATAATAAAAAGTGCAAATAATTCAGTTAGCAAATCGAAATGGACTACATTACATTGAACTGAAGAACCGTTAACAACTGGATTATTAGAAGTTTTAACACCAGTGCCAATCATTTGTGCCAATTCCAACTGTGAAATGCACTTGAGCACCTGAAATTTGTATTCAAACTTTTTATGAATGATTCCATCAACCAACAAAAAACAAAAGATTATAATTAATTATGACTGAATGGTTCATTCTTTACTTCCCTTTCCATTCACAGTCTAATTAATTACTAAATAAGGAAACCGAATGGAAGAACGCATTAAAAAATTTTCATAACAATTTGATTTGTTTTAAAAAGTCGAAATACAAAAAAACTTACATCAATCCAGGATTCATCCAGACAATTTCCATCTTCTTCACCAACAGTTAATAATAATTTTATTGACTCGATGTTCTTCGATTTCATTTCCACCATGGAATTTTTCGCAGTCAATAATGTAAATCTTTAAGTTCATTAAAATGCAGTGCAACACATAGCAGGTAATATTCAGACAGACGACGCAAAGAAAAACAAGCAAAAAACCAGTAAAATCCAATGTTTATGAGAAAAAAACTGTAATAAAAAATAAGCGTGGAATAAAGCGGAACCTTGCTAGTGCCTGTATAAAAGCATTTCGTTCCAAAATTAAACGAAATATGCAGGCGATTTTGATACCAAGACGAAATCCTTGCAAACACCAAAATATGACACTTTCATCTTCTGAAGTTTGTAATCCAATACTGAAGGCTGCTAGGCAAGGAGTCCAAGCGATCTAAAGTAGACAATTTCGAAATAGAATGAATGTTGACATCACCACAGAAATCGAAAACGATAAGTCCGTAGTGACAACGGAAAAAAAAAATAATTATTATTAAAATTAGCAGTTTTGTATCTTCTTCATATTCTAATATATATATATATAATACTTCAACGCTGTGTTTATTAGAATATACAAAACTTTTAGTAAAACTTTTAGAAAAACCTTTACCTTAAACATTGGCCTAACATGTTCGCAGTGCGAAGCAGATGTAAATGCAGCTTCATAATGTGATGCGGCTTCCATCAATGCTCGCGCCGTTTGAGCCATAGCAGCTAATTCAACATCTTGCAGTAATTTGCGTTGTCGTTCTGAAGTCGCCATTGCACCTATATAAAAATAAATTCCTTAGTCGAATTTTAACTGATTCCATTTCTCATTAAAATTAAAATTACGTAGTATGCCCTAAATTTTTCTTTTTTAAAATTTTATCATAAACGATAAATTACTCTGTTTTGGTAATTTATTGAGTCCTGGTTTCATCTTAATCTCACGTCCCGCAATTTCGTCGTATATATCGGAGAGGTATTCCTGTGGTAGATCAGATTGATCATTTATTCCTCTGTTCATTGCTATATATTGCTCTTTTGTCATCTTATTTCGTACCTAAAAATATTAAAAAATTTTTTTTCTATTCGTTAAATAAAGAAAATGTCAAAAAACAATTATATATGAGAAAGGGGAAAAAAAACAATCATCTATGAGAATTGTGGATAAATTTCTGCAAATATATTTCATGAAGTCGATAAAATTTATTTGCAGATTTTTACTTCTTATAATATTACCAAAACACGTACATATAAGCGAATTTCAACATAATCTTTAAAAGCTGAAAAAATGCCAAAATGAGGGAACAATTTAACTGTCCTTACAAATGCAGGAAAATGTATATTTCAGATAATTTTAAATTGAAAAAGGGTAGATTTCATATCTAACCAACTGATAGCTTCAGAAATTGATAATAAGTGCTCGACCTAATAAGTGCACTGTGATTCGTAGTTATGAACATACGGGTTGTCAATGATATAATGACAAATTCAACAGAATAAATAAAAATCTTGCCTGTGGGCTGTGCAAATCAGTTGTTAGCATGATGATTGAGTACGCGAGAACATATGCTGTATCGGCAGAGGCGAAAAGACCAAGGCTTTAAATTAATCTTCCTTTTAAATCCATTAAAAATTATGAAAAAAGAGATTCGAGATTTAATGAAATTTTTGAAACAAAAAAGAAATTGATTTTAAGCAGATATTTAAATAGATTACTGAATAAATGCGCTTTATTTACATCTTAATTTATACTTTGGATTACATTCATAATATCGTGATGCGAATTTTTCCATTAATCGGTCAATTTTTTGGGCTTCACCAGGAAGGCGAAATCCATCTAAGAATAGACGTAGAGCAGTAACGAAATCTAGATTAGAAAAATCCATTTGGTCCACATAAGCATACATCACTCGTTTGTTGAAGCTAGAATTTTTATAAATTTTAGCGCCTGCAACTTTAAAAATTCTCAAAAATTTCATAAACTTTTCGAAAATCCTTAGAAGCCTAACAATTTTATGACCCGGATTTCCTTTCGGCAAAAATGAAGAAAGCAGATAAGTTGAATTGAATAATCAAACAGTATCGCATTCATTCATTCTTTTCAAGTGACCAGAAAAAAATGAGCAGGCAAAAAAAGGATGAAGAAAGAAACAACGATTTTAATAAAATTATATAAACTGCTGCAAATAACTTACTCATCACCATCTCCAAGATAATCACCAACAATAGTCTTATCCAATCGATCTTCATTGTGAAAGAATGCAGCAATGTCTTCCGGCTTGGTACCTATTAAATGTCTTTCTTGCAAAAACTTCAAACCTTGATTAGTTTTTCGAGCGAATCTGAAATATGTAACACATGAAAAATTCAAAATTTTATTTCATTCCAACAATCTTGACTTCAAATACAAATTCTGTAGTATAACTGCTAATATAAGAAAGTAAAAGAAAACAAAATACCTACAGATGAATTCCATGTTCCATTGTTTCCTTCTTTTGCTTCAGCTGCTCAAACTGATGCACAGTTGAAGTTTGTGGCATCGCCGCTTCAGCCGATGATGCATCCATAATTTCCGTATCTTGAAATTATTAAAAATAATAATTTGAGAATGCATTCTCACCATAAATTTTTTTCGATTACAATGTTTGAAATCCTTTCAGATCAAAATATTTTAAACAAACTCTCTAAAGAGCAAAAGTTCCCACAAACAATTTGCATTATGTTCTTTTATGTCATTGTAAGCATATATAGAAATTGTTTATATTATTTAAAATAAAAAATTCGAATTAATTCATAATTTGATTTGACACAATCTTTTCTATTCAAAATGATAAGATTGTAAAACCAGAAATTTTAAATATCTTAGATATTCTGAATTCCAAAAAAACAATTTTCAAGGAAAATTCAAAATTTTATTCTGAAATATATTCTTTCTCAAAACTCCTTCATCAAAAATGAAAACAAACCATCAGAAACAGGTCGACTTGAGCTAATATCATCAAACCAATCAACCATACATTGCAAGCACTCAACTAAACATTCTAATCCCAGAATTCGCATGGATCGTTCGCGTTGTTTTTGTAATACAGCAGCTGAACTTCCGTAATCGGATATGGATCCTCCCTATAAATAACGATTAAAATTATCGCAAGCGAAGTAAGATGTATTAAAATACATCGCCAGAAATATATTTCTCATTTTTTATATAAAATGCAAGGTAGTGAAACTAGACTAGACCTTGTCATTTCAGAACTATCTCTCTCAAGAAATTTACATAAGAATCACCACAGAATCTTTAATATGGCATCCAAAAAGTATAAAACTGTTCATACATCTTCATATTCAAATAATCCATACACTTTCAAATTATATTTAAATCCTTGCGATTTTTCTGTTTATAGAGTAGCAAGTTCATTATCTATTTAAACTGTCCGACACACTCAAAATGCATCTGAACCTTTCAGAACACGTTTCGATCGCATATAAAATCTTCGTAAACAGTTTAGACTAAAAGTGAGTCACATATTCGAGATATAAAGGAATCTTACAGCACATCAATACACAAAACATATGCAAATACGCAGTATATACAAAGTATCCGTAACCTTGGCTTAAAAACTATATAATTAACTGAACACATAATTAACAGCCCCATCAGAATCTTTCGACAATTTTCGTGTATTTCCTCTAACAACTTTCCTAAAACAGAAAATCCAACATATACACACACCTGTGCAACTTTGAATAAACCATCAATGATACGTTCGAATATGTTAGTTGCCGTAAGGTCGCAATCATAATTCACGTAAATATCGACCATACTTTGTGGATCTTCACAAATTTTCTCCAATGTATTGATTACAATCCATTTATGCTCAAATGAGCTGGAGCTACTTTCCAATATTGAGAATATTATTTCCTTGAAGAAAACCTGAAGAATTAATATTATTACATTCTATGTTTAATTTTATTATATTATCAACCGTAAGATCGCAATCATAATTCACTATTTATATCAAAAAAATTTTCTTTCTCTTTGCTCCAACATATGTTGAAGCAAATTTTACAACTGTCCGCGGCTGACAGCGCGGAAATTGGAATAAATATTACTGAAGCAATAAAGAGCCTACCAAGAAGGTACTGTGATGTTTTGCAAAAAACTCATGAACTATAAGAATGCTTAAGATTGCTGACAAATATGTGGTAAAGTGTTTATAACTGAGATCAGAAACATAACAGATGTCTTTATCATTCATGCTTACTAATAACATAGTAATAAGAGTTGATAAAAGGTGACGTTGAACGCTGTAACTGTCTATAATAAACATTTCTACTTCTCTTTCTAATCAGAATGTGAAGTAACGCATCCTGTGTTTTAATCACTACGAATCATTATAAATTATTTTTAAATAAAAATTTTTTAAATATAATTTTCAAAAATTTTCTCTTTTGCATTTTGTTTTGAGTAAAATATAGACTTGCCTCAATTTGCACCTTCAAATGCATTTTGAATTTATTGACTAATTGTACAAATATGGCCAATGATTTTTCGAAAACACTGACAACTGGAGAAACCCCGTTCCGTGAAAGTGAAACGCATAATAAATGTCGTAATGCAAGTACAAAAGGCTGTGAGGAATGTATCAAGGATGAAGGATTCTGTACAATCAGCAGCAACATTTCCAACGATAATTCTTTTGAACGTAATTCGTGACTGCTGAAAAAAGCGAAATCACTGCTCAAAATATAAATCCTAAAAATATATATTTCTATAATTTAGGAATCAGCCATCATTATTTCCATTCCATTCCAATAAAAATTTCACTTTTCCTTTTAAACAAAATATACTTTGGATCAGCTCGTTCAGGAATCGGTTTGATTGAAAGCCTACAAAGTGCTCGGAACAAAAGAAATGCATCCTCTTCTTGCACAGTTCGAAAATGTAAATGTACGGATGGTACATCTTCGCCGACATTTTCACTGGATTCTACTGTTGATACTGGGTTCAACGTAAGCGATGATGATATTGACACTTCAGTTATTACGGACTAAAATATTTTTTTCTACTTTTGGCGAAAATGTTTAGAGAGATGATAAATTTTATAAATTATATTTAAAATCATCTGTATGACTGATATAATAAAATGTATGTCTCTAAGAAAAACAACGCAACATACATTAAAAGTCGAACCGTGATGACTACTGTAGTTTGATACTGAATCCGTATGTGCTGATACTTGTCCTACCAAATAATTTACAACTGCTCGCACAACCTGATGATGAAATTATCCAACGTTCTCTAGTGCAACTCAAAATTACATAATCTAAATCTTATTAAAATCTTATAAAATTGCCTTAAACCAATGAATGAACGCATTTATGGAATATACTGGTTTTAGAACAAAATATCTTTTAAACTATATAATTAGCAGAAAAACCTTTGTTTTGAATATTTCCAATAAACCCAAATTACAGCTAAAAATTTAAAAACTTTTCACTTACATTTTCATCATTTTGGTGTGGCGATGAAGCTACGTCTTCGGCATTCAATGCACTTCCAAAAACTGTATTAATTACCTTAATATTCAAAAGAAATTTACTTCACATCTGCTAAATCACACCAATAAATTCATATGCACAACAAGAAATCCGATTTTTTGATACTTTTATTACCTGTGTTAAAGAAGCTTTTGCAGTCGACTGGTTGATTGGACTTCGGCTAGCTAAATAAATATTAAAACATGTTCTAACTGCCAAAAGGAGCGTACCTCTATGTACTTCACATGTTGGTGCGAGTACAACAGCTAATATTGCCTGCAAATGAAATAAATTGAGAAAAAAATTAAATATAATCAGTTTATAAATCACTGCATTTAAAGCATTAAAAAAACCAGCAACGTAAACTAACAGAATAAATAAAATTTTTAAAGTTACGCTGATTTTTGTAAAAACCTATGACGATACAAACAAAAATATTAATTTTTGAAAATTTCTGAAATTTTCAAAAAGAGAAACAAGCACTTTTAAGGTTCTTGATGCAATGTGTCATCGAACAACGGTATAATTAGACTCTTTGCAACTATCTTTCAAACAAATCGTTCACAACAGTGATCGTTGTTAAGCCGTTTTTTTTTTTTTTTTCATTTATTTCGATTCATACTAACCTTCAAAATTTGCAATTGAACTCCTTCATCCGTATTTGGACCATAGAAAGGTGAACATATGGCTTCGACAATACGATCAATTAGAAGACGATCTGGATTTGCCACATCAATTCCATTACCCACCAAATGACCGTATGCAATTAATTTCTACAATTAATATAAATGCTGATAATATTACACGAAAAGGAACAAACGAAAGTATCGAATATCACAAGAGTAATTCCTACCATGAATAAAACGGTTCAAAATAACACTAGTCTAAATTATTCTGTTCTGACTTTACTTAGTTTTAGTGAAGAAAAGATATACTTTGTTTTTTTGAATAAAAACTTTTCACATACGAAAGATTTCTTTTAACCAACCTGCAAGCAATCAAGGGAGATAATAACGATTCGTGGAGATTTGGAATGGCAAGCAAGGTCAAAGGGCAGAAAGTACCGATCAGCATTTATAAATTGAGCTTTTGATGGTAGCACGTTCGTCGTGATACCATGGCTTTCATCTGTCTTATCGGTACCGAGTTCTTCAATTGCTTGTTCGCATGCTTTTCGTAATTGAGCATGTTCCTGAGAGAAGAAGTAAATAAGTGAAAGAAAAATAATTTCCAAAATTTGGCTTATTTATTGAAAAATACGATGGAATCATCGTTAATTAAATAAAAATTAAAGAATTCGATCTTATTATAAAAAGTTTGAGATATTTCCGCAGAATAACATCAACCTTCTTCTTAATATCACGATCGGCCAGTATACGTCCAACGGCATTTCGTAGGAACATAATAGCTGCTTTCCTTAGCTCATTATTCATATCAAAAGCATTTTCGCTCTGAAATATAGCTGTAATATTAGCAAATCATAAAGAAAATAAACACAATCGGCAATACACGTCATGAAACAATGACATATCTCAGATGCTATCATAAAAACGAAATGCCAAGTCTCCCACTATTTCAAACTTCAAGGCCACATGTAATCTTCTCACGCGAAAACAACGTGAAACACTTTCACACGCCTCGCCACGTTTCACCGAACATTGCAAATTATAACACGGACAGGTTGTGTTGCTATGGTTATCCCGTTCCAACGATCTGACGAAATAATAGAATTAATATTGAAGTAATTTAAGTCAAAAACCATTTCATGTACTTGATGTATAATTACGCATATATGGTGATCTCTAACTAGGACGGTTATGTGCGTAGTAACTGCTTGTAAATTCCTGTATTAACATTGGTAAAAATAAACATGAAAAAATAAAATGGTTTGATAAAAACGATGAAAAGATAGAACGAAATTTTTGCATAATTATATTTTATGGTCAATTTAATCTCTACTATACCACTTTTACTTGGAGTGACGTAAGGCTTATGTCCACCCGTATTTGCGCTGGTAAAAGTTCAGAAACTTGATCAATCTGTTAGCTTTACAGGATAATAGCATATTTTTACATGCTGTGATCCACCTTGATGCTAAGCGTGGAACTGAACTTCCTCGCTTTGATCGACTTTAATAATACGTTACTTCTTTGTAAATGATTAATTGGCTGATACGTACTATACAATTTTTCATTCACTTTCATTTGATTGTAGATTTTGTGCCAAAAAAATTTTAATTTAAACCGAAATTCGGAATACGTATTCGGTACCATTGGAACAGAAGTGTGATGTATCCAATAATAACTTAGCGTAATATTTAGAAAAAGCGGTAGATTAACGGTTAACTGAATTCCTTGTCTAATCATTGATATAATGAAAATGTTGACCTCAATAATGATAAATCGAAAAGGTGAAAATTTTTTCTTCTTTCATTGATACTCTCAGCAAAAGAACGAGCGCCAAAATAAAAGTAAAGCAATGAAATTAATAAAATCTTTGAATAAAAATTTCAATTTAATTTTAAAAATTTTTTTTTAATTAAAAATTATTGACTTTAAAAGTTATTGATTGAATGAAAATTGGAAGATTTGATACTTTGTTGTCTCAATGAAGTAATAATGTATGATTGTGTTGAAGAAATACAGAAGAAACAGAGTACAACCCTTTTCATATTGTAAAATATTTTTGTTTTCCCTCTTTTTCGTCCCTTTTTTTTGTTGTTCTTTTAACTTTCTCAATACAATTTTCAACATTTGTAATTGACTTTCGGATCATACAAATGATTTATTGTTGTTTATACAAATAATACTTTTGTGACTGGGGAAAGTGATAAATTATAAGTCTGTACAGGGAGGTGTATGACTGCATTTTTATGAATTAACATTTCAAAGTTATATACATCCGACGATCATGCGATACAAGTAGTATAAGTCATTTGCAGTCTAATAAGATTTAATAAGCCACTTTTCATCGATAACGAGTAAAAGTGTATGGGTAATATCGTTCGTTAGATTGCATTTTGGTTTCTGTTTATTTCCCTCCCAGAAGTGGAAGTTATCGCAATGTCAGGACTATACTTACAATCATCTGAGACAATACTTAACTGTTTTTGTAGAAAAAAATTAATGCAACTAAATTTCAAGAAGGAAAAATTTTTTAGCTTATAAAACTCGATGCCTTTTACATAGAAGTTCATTATTGAATTGCTTTGTCCTAAATTTTCAGACTACAGATTGATGGTTGTTGATCATTTCTGATTTTGCTTCGAAAGGATTTAAAAATAATATTAGTCATTTAATTCTCTTCGGTGTAAATAGTAAAGTAAGTTTTTGTGATCTGAATATAAGCATAATGCTACCTACCTTCGAAGAATAACTTCGAATATGTTTTTCACGGCTTTTCACGATATCAAATATCGCACTTCGGTTTATGTTAGAGGAAGAATGCTGATCAATGATCAATGTAATTGTTTTAATTAAGGCATCAAAGTCATTTAGGCCATCTTCGTGTTCACCGGCATACTGTTCTTTTCAAAAGGAAGTAAGAATCATTATGAGTGAACCAAGTTAATTGCAGCTTGTAGCCTTTGTTATTGTTGTAGTATCCATATATAATAATACTATTATTGCTTTAACCGTCGATAGAATTGACTTCATTCAACTGTTATGTTATTCTTCTTTCCAAAATCCATTTTGAACAATGTACCTATGAATTTGCATAGTTTATAAACTACAAATTTGTCGAGAAACATTGAGTGATGATTGTTGTGAAGTTAGCAAAACTGTGTCCATCACACTCATTTCAAACTAAACTTATGCAAAAAATTTTCTCTATTTTGTTTATTTTTCGTTTATTATTATGAATATTTTTACTTAGCGAATGTTAGCAGCTAAATTGCGAAGTAAACAAAATACTCACGTTTTTACGTTCTTTTTCAGCATTAAAATCACGTGTTTACGAGTTCGACTCTCAATTGTTATTTTATTAAATGTTATAAATTCCCTTTTAATTTGCATTCTTTAAATATCAACAATATAATAATGCTTACCTTTTCCTTTTTTCAACAAAAATTTTCGAGCTTTTATACCAAAACTAGGAGTTTTGAATGAAAAATTGCTTTGTCTACGGATGCGCAAGTGGTACTTTTAATGCAGTAATGCAGTAATATTCATGAAATCGTTACCAGAAAATGAATATGTGTCCATCCGTTTGTTACCCAAAAGATATTGGTAATGTGATGATGACATTAATAAGCAAAGATCATCATTATTATCACTACTATTAATTGCGGGCCGAAAAATAATGCTGATAAAATGCAGCAGCAATGGTGATGACCATCATCGCTATCACTATTCTCATTATCACTGCTATTACTGCCATCATTGTCATTAATAACAATCAGCAGCCATATCGAGCAATATAACAGGGAACGATACGAGTATCAACCTAACCTGTTTCAGTCGTTTCCACCCCTTTCAAACTACACCATTCTTCTTTGGGTAAATGATCATTGTTTATATACGTATATACTATCTGTTTGTTCATCTATCTGCCTTTTTCGGGTTAGAAGGAAGTATCCTGAATAGCGGTAGAGACGGGAAAAGAGAAGAAAATATGGGAAAAGAGGAGGGTGGCCAGTGATTATCTCTTTTGCATTATCATTAACAAATTGTCGCATAAACACCCGCAAACAACAACAGTAAATTTGTGGAATGTGATATCGTTCCTTTCCACCCTTCCTTTTTTGTTCAATTGCGTTCACAACCTGGCCGCTTCCACCAAATCGTCCATTCTCTTCACCACTATTTATTAACTTCTTTCGTCGTCTTTCCATTTCTTTCATTCTCTCATTTCACCTTCGTAAATAAATAATTCCATTTGCTTTTGAATTAACCATATGTAAATTTTGATACAATCGGGAAAATTCTCACATATGTATCATTCCTTTTCGAAGTTTATAGAAGTTTGTGATTATAAGAAGGTTTTCAGTTATCAGTAGTCATTAAAATAATTTGCTTCTTACTTTTCTTTTATAAGAGTGACCATTTTATCCTATCCCATTGTTATCTTCAAACAACTGATAGTCTGAAAAGTACTTACGAAGGAATTGGAACATTTGCATGATTACCTCGCTGTATCTATAACATTCTTAGAGTAAGCTTATCACGTGTTACTTCTCTTTAGCAACCATAAATTCGGTTTTCAATTTCCTTCCACTGTGCATTCCTGAGATGGCTTATTTAAACTGCTTTTTGTAGTAAAATAGCCAATTGAAATCGATCGGTTATCGGGGAGATAAAATAAAGTGTACACATCGACTTGCAACTTATTTTATTTATGCATTTAGCATTTCACACTGTGCAAAATCATTCACCGCAATTTAAAAATTATCAAAAGTTGGTTTGAAATTTCAGGTCCTCAAATTCTTGTAAGCACTCTATCGCCAGAAATAAATCCTTTATTTATCGAAGTGCTGTGTATATTTATGCTTTAGTGTATTCGCGTGGATAACAATACGTTGATTTACATTAATTACGACTACTTCCTGTTTTCGCCTAATATCCCGGAACTTATTAAAAATTTTCGGAATACCTTTTGGTGGGCCTCATCTCTACTCATATCTATTCGAGAATTAAGGCGGTGCAAATCTATCTGCTTGAGAATTGAGGACCGAGAAAATTTTTATCAACAACTAATCTCCAAAAATTTGTACCAACAAATAATCATCGAAACATTTGACATAACGAAAAAAAGCAAAGTTGGCTTGAAAAAAATGAACGAGGCAAGCTTAGCGAGTCCGAAGTGGTCATCAACCAGTATTTAATATTATAATATTATAAAATTGGAGGGTAAAAAAGAAAAATGAGTTTTAGGGCACATTCAAATAAGGAATGCCTAATTTTAGTTCAAACAAACAAGAACCAACTTTCACTACTACAATAACGATAACAACAGGAGCAGCACACCGATCATATCAGTGACAATAACGTCAATATCACGACTGTTACCAGCATTACTGGAGCGATTGAACCTTTCAGGCGATCATCGAAATATTCTTTTTCGAAACGTTTCTCCCTTCCTTTTTTTTCTTCCTAAGCGACGACAACGACAACGACAACGACAACGACAACGAGGACAATTTTCTGGCTGCAATCATTTTAATTGATAGAGAAACAAGAAAAAGTTGGGGGGAAAAAAATTTTTTGTGTGATTGTGTGCAGAAATTGAAAATTTCTACTTGAGCGTTTGCGCGCGCGCATAAGATCACGGCAAAAGATTACGGAGAAAAAAGTTCCTCTATTTCAACTCTTCGCTTTTCTGGTGCTACTTAACTGATTAATTATTGAGTGATTGAGCTGGCTGAATTTTCTGTTTATCATTGTTATTGTTATTACTCCTAATATATTACTACCAACATTGCTATCACCATTATCATTTCCATCATTATCACTGCCATCTTCATTTTCATTCGAGTTGTTTTTGTTGACTGTTTCATTTTTCATTCTACTAACGGTGCATTTCGAGGAAATCAGAAAAGGAACTACTCCAGAAATTTATTGCCAGTTTATTTGCAAGATATTTTAAATCTTGCTTCTACTATACTACTACCACAATAACTACTATTTGTCCATAATTCCATCGCGTGTGTTATTCAACTTGCGATGAATTTCTAAGAGATTGATATTCAACGCGGATATATTCATCAAATTTTTCTCGTTTTGAATTTCAATTGTCTGGATCATATAACAGCAATTCCTTTCATCGAGTTATTTGTCACTCGAATTTACTGTTATTGTTGGTATTCGATCTCGAATTGTGGTATCATTTATTAGTTGATCAGCATCTATTTATTTTACATTTGCATAAATAGTGCAGATGTTCTAAAACTTTTCATATTCCGCTGCAAATTTTCGTTTTTTCTATTTGGTTTAAGAAGAAGAAGGAAAAAACAAATCGTTGATTTTATCTATTATAAAGCATTGGCAGACTTCCCCCTTTTCAGCCAACCAATTACTACTTGTTGTTTTTGAATTATCAACGATACCTTTCTATCTTCACCCATCCCAATTTATATTTTCTTTTTCCATTTCGCTCCTTCTCCTATTCAGTTAATCTTTTGTCGTAAATAAACTGAATTGGTATATATGTGAAATTATTTGCTAACTTCTGAAATTTGATATGTTTTGAAGTCGATTAAATAATTTAAGTCGAAAAGCTATATTATTTCGATTACTTGTAACTATATTCAAGGAAATATTTCCATAATAACACATTGTTTTCTATTCTACTGCTATTACTCTCCGGAAATCTTGGTGTTGTATCGCGCGATACTGTTTGGAAGCATAGGCAAATATTCAAAGATTTCATTAAAGTAAAACAAATTACCTCCGGAACTGTGGAGTACTCAGGAAGTAAAACGATAACAATAAAGCTAAACTATTCTCCGAAAACATCAGTCAACAATCACACGAACTAGGAAATAAAAAAGGAACAAAACTGTTTATGATAGTGATAAACTAAACCCAATGCGGGTTCAATGCCTGCCAACAACCGTTATTATTATTTTCCTCTTGCTTGCCGGTATATCGCATCCGAAACGCAGAATACATCCGACAGTGATAATAGCTATGGGTGTTAATGCTGCGCCAGTAATTGAGTCAAAATCAATCGTATTCAACGATCTGGACAATTTACGCAGGTATTTTATATCATTTATTAAACGTGAGAAAAGAAGAATTCTCTTATTGTTGAAGTTTTAAAATGAGTTAGTCGTCAAAACTCATGCAAATTACTCATTCAATAGTGATCAGAATTATCATGATGAAGTGTGAATGGCCAGTGATAAGAAATTGTTGATGTACTAGTGAAAACAGTTATGCTGCGATATCACGTCACGTCAGTTGTGAAGCATCAGATTGTTGTCCCACTGTGGGCATCACTTATTCTTCTTTACGTAACTGTTTTTGGAAGAAATTTGTTAGATAATAGTCGAAATCGCTATACATAGCAATTTGTTAATTTTCTCTAGAAACATCTATTTCATTGAAATCTTAAAAAAAAATGAAATTTTGCAGAATAAAAATGATGAATCTGTTTTACAGGTCAATAGCAGTATTGCGCCATGCGGTTGGTAACTCAATTGCCAGTTCAATGCTCCGTTTACCCTCATCTCAGGTTAATTCTTATTAGATTATTTACTATCAAAAAGGATAGTGACCAAAGGATAGTGAGAAAAAGATAAAGTTTGCTGTGCAAATATATCATGCAAAACATTCCTTCATGTAATTTAACGGAAATAATGCTTTTTTTCTTTGCAGTGCAAAAAAAATGAAAAAATTTCGGTATTGTCACTAAAGAGAATCTGTTGATTGATAACAAAGATTCATGTCCCTTTCTCTCTATCGTAATATATCAGTAGCGGGTAACTAAACTGTACAATGAGAATGGCCCGAATAATATCGACGACATAATGGCTGCTATCCTGTCATCACTCCCTATCGTATCTTTCAATTAAAATTTGCACATCTCAAAGACACTCTAAACGCATACCAAAAAAATATATTATATTTTAAAGCACCGAGTAATTTCACTCTAAAGGAAGGATGTCCATTTTGTCGGAAAAGGAATGGATTTACATCAGCATCTCAATTGAATGCAATATTTTATAATAGTTTGCTTAAAATTTCAGGTTGGCACAAATCACTGTTTATTATGATTAGTATATTAAGTTCTGAAAATCTAAAATAGTAAGATTAAGAAATTAAATTTACGAATTTAAATTCAAAAAATTGTATTACAAACTTTCTCTCAGCTCTTCTCCTTCCCATCAAGTTTCCGCGAATTTTTAAAATATTTGACGGATAAATAATAAACTTCATAGTGAAAAACTTCTATTTATTGTAGGTATAAAATTTTTTTATTCATATGATGTTAGAACTAAGAAATCGTTCGTTACCTCTAAATCACGTAAAAAATTTATTTTCTTTTCCTTTCCGTGAAGGATAAGTTAATGATAGGCTGCGATCTATAAACTAACTACTTGTTTGCTAGGAACAAAAAATTCGAGCAAAATATTTACATCAGTGTTATCTTTTCAAAATCACCTCACATCTAAATTTTTTTAAAAAGTTGCATATGGATAGATTATTTATGGAATTAACCATACTTTTCATGTAAAATCAAATCGGTGCGAATCTTAGGTAAAAATTTTAGGTGCGAATCTTTAAGTCTGAGCTGCACATTTTTGGATTATAACATTCGATGAATAAAAACGACTTTTACAGAAGAAAATTTTATAACTATTTGCGAAGAATTTTTGATAATTTCAAAATTTATTATCAGTTATTTTTCAACACAATTAAATTCAACATATGGAAAGGTTGAATTTTAAGAAATTGGATTTTAAAACTTAAAAATTTTTATGCTTGACAAGAAAATTACACTGTGATCGAATTCTTATTGACTACATTGCATATTAATCGAATTAATTAGAATTATGTTGTAGTAAATCTCTATGCTATTTTCTCCTTGTTTATTTCCGTTCTTTTGTTTCACAACTCTTTAGACATATTTTATAAACATTATACATTTTTGCTATTTCCTTTAAATCAAAGTTGCAATGACTGGGAGAAATTTGCTGAATTAAAATTTTTCCATCATTTTCTGATTGAGCTAATAATTGATTATAAATCCAATATTTCTGTTTTAGATTTCAATAAGAATCAAAATTTTCAGCATCATCTTCATCGAGATGCATTATATGGACGACGAGGCGAATCTTCGGAAGCTGCCATACTGAATGTTAAAGCCGATATCAGGTATAAACAAATGCCTTTTAGTTTATCGGTAAGATTTTAAAAGTAAAAAAAAGCAAAGGAAATTTGTACGATGGAGAAGATGTGTGTCAGCTTGTTTTGCTGGCGCATTGTAGGAATTGTACAAAATAAACTGCAAGTAATTTCTGAGCTTTCTGTAGTTTATCCAAATCTAGTCACAATTTGAAATAAGTTAATTCATTGGGTTTATTTTTGACATGAACTTATTTCTAATTTAAGAGTAGAAATATTGGTGTAATTGCAGGAGGATGAATGAAGCAGATGTAGATCAGTTTGATGATGAAGTTGAAGATGAAGAAAGGCTCATGCAGGCCGATCGCCCATCAATCATTCACAGGACACGACATTTCAGGCAACGCAAAAGAAGAAAAGGTATTTGTAGTCACAGTACATTGTCACAAAAATTTGATCAAATGTTTTATTGAAATTAAGGAGGTAGGATATATATGTATGTATGTATGTGTATGTGTATATATATTCCAGGAGCTTTAAACCTGTTAAAGAACTTTAAATGAATTCAATATTTAAAGATATGGCTTAATGCCAAGATGTGGCTGTTTTTTTTTGAAAATGATTCTTAGGAATTGGCATTGGTGGTAGCTTAGTTCTCATCTCACCTTTACCAGGATATCAGTACTACAACATATTATGATGGTTAAGGAAGATATAGTAAGACGGCAGTTAAAATGAATAATGATAATTAACTATTGAGAAATACAGAAATCATAGTGAGCTGATGTTTTACGCTTAACAGAACCATTCGCTGGGTAACAGCTGTACGTGTAAAATTTTTTAACTGAATTTAAACAGCTCATTTAACATTAAAATTCATTTCAAAAAAATAAGAATGCTTTAGTGATAAGCTTTCAGTATCTGTAAACAACTCACGATAACGATATCAGTAAATTCCTTCCCTGAAATGTGCATCACATCAACATACGTGCCAAATTGATAACAAATTAAATAGTAATCAATATAATACGTCTAGACACGTCGGAGGAGCATGCAGCTGATAGATTTACTTCTAAATAACATTTTATCAACTACTACAATCAGTTAAATTCCATTTCTCGCATACCATATAACCCCTGGCAGCACCACCATATATGTGCGATCTTATCAGAAAAATCTTCAAGGACAATAATAATTTGAAACTTGACATCAATTTTGTCCCAATTTGGAATTTTGTTTGTGGCAACGAAACAATAAATCTCCATAAGATGTTTCGATTGCATTCTAAAATATTTCAAAATTTGGAGACCAATTCGATTGTTAGCTCGAAATCAGAAAAAAATAAAATAAGCAGATCGCCACCTTAAGCAATTTGTGATAATCTCGCAACAAAATGAACCAATCAATAATGACGTTTATTTTAAAGGAAAAATCTCTTCATTAAAACGATTTATTAGGTCCAGACAATCGTTCGTTAATACCAACTGTTTCTGTTGCAGAATGATTACAAATTGTGCCAAATTTCAGGCTGTGGTGCCTCAAGACACGGCCATCAGCAAATGTTATGCCCAACACGAAGCTCGCATCATTATGATGTTTGCATAACATCGGAACAACTATGCGACGACATTACTGACTGTCCTGGTGGCGAGGATGAAAGTCCATCAAACTGCCTTTTTTATAAATCTGTAAGTTTTAGCTAATATTTACAAAGTAACTCAATTTAATCTTTCTTACAACAAAAGCAATTTGCCACCTTATCAAGGTTTTGGCGCTATATTCACATTGTCATTTAGGTTTGAAATTTCTTCATTTTTTGGCAATTTTCAGATAAAAGAGCAGTTGAAACATATTTACAATACCGTGCTTCTGCTAGCCGATCACGCTGCGGGTCAGAACAGCCATCGTGAATTGTAACCGATTTCATGAGGACTTACTGGTCCCCTTACAATAAGTTACGCTTATCTCATATAAGATCGAGACTGAGGGACAAACAGACAAATAAGAAGATAGGCAGACAGAGAAAGAACACCGATTGGAATTTCACGTGAGAGCAAATGTTCGTCTGTTAAAAAATTTTAGAGAAAAAAGACAGAAAGGAACCAGACCCCCCCCTCCCAAAGATTTTACCTGTTAGTTGATCTCATTGTTTACTTGTCATTGCACCTTACTTAACACATATTTGCATGACTTTTCAGTAACAGTCTATTTGTATTTCATCATAAAAATTTTATCCTTTTTGTTGGAAAACTCTCTTTGATTAACAAGAAATCAAGCCAGTTTGGTCTAGTTCGAAAAATCTGAATCGAAGTATAATATGATATGATTTAATTGGATCCGAACAACTTACATTTACTTAAAATTGTATTATCCAAACAGATTATAATATCCGTTTAGTTTATCCTATCCAAGCAAATCATATTTAGCACGGCCTTAGGAAAGGTGTCAGAACATTCTACGGCGAATCAGAACTTCTACCCCTAGCCTTCACCTACACGTTGGCGATTTCTGTTATAGTGTCCAAAAAAAAGGTTGGATAGAGGCTTATTTTAAGCAACGAGAGAAAACTGCATTTGAATAATTACGGAGATGCTTGAATTTCAACAAATCTGAAGATGAGGTCGGATTATAGGTTATTCACGGCTACCGAAATCTGTGCATGTAGAAGGGAAAAACATTTTATTAGACAAAACCAATAACAGAATGTATCATTGATTCTGGGATCATTATAATTTGGAATTATTTTCAAATAATACGAAAGGTAAATCAATAAGATGACAAAAAAGCACCTAAGATATTGTAACGATTTTGTCTAATATCAAATAATATCGCTAAATCACTCATTCTAACAGATAATAAAGTTGAATTAATTCCTATAAGGAATATGATGTCAATTTATTTCATCACAAGACGACAATGATTTACTGGTTCACAAAGTCTTGATAGATAATAAATCTATAACATATAAGTTTCATTAATTAATCGGATTAAAACTACCGGTTGACTACAAACATCTACTGTTTACTTTCTTAAAATTAATTGAAGTGGAAATAACTAACTTAACAGTCCAAGTCCAAGCTTAAATTTGATATAGCTTGAAACTTAAAACAAGTCTTAGAAAAATACTGATATAATATGAATATATTTAAACGGAAATATCATATTCGCGTGATTCCTTTTCAACTTTATAATATAATAATAAGAATAATATCATAAGGAATATTCAATGTTCCTTATTGCGCTTTGGATTGTTCACTGCAACATAATGAAAAAGAATGATAAGGGCAAAAATGGAAACACCAACCAAATTCGAAAATACGGCCAATTGTACGTCTGTTATCATCGTATTTACTTCTGTTTGTCCTAAAATAATATGAATAGAGCTCAGTTAGCTACCTGTCTGACATCTGACAAAATTGAGTTCTAAAAAATCGTCGGGCTATCCTAACTTCCAGAAACAGAAAAGATATATTTCTCTTTACATTAACTATTCCTGCTGTTCTTTCTTTTCTATACATTATAAAATAGTATTAATTACTTAAAAACTTGAATTTTCAGGACGTTCTTGAATGATCGGTCGCTGATAACTGATACAGCACTACTCCACTAAATTTGCTTCTAAATTTGCTGAAAGAATAACTAATTGTGGAATTAATTTAGAAATACATCAAATGTGAATTTACCGCGAGTCAGAAGTAATATGTATCAGATACAAGCTATATATGTGAAATGAGGACGTGAGGTAAAGTAACGTAACAATAAGCAGTAGAATAGCTAGTATGTGATTCAATAAAATGCATGAGAGTAATTAAAAATGATGCAATGCCAGTTCTTAATTCTAACATTCTAAACTTTTTCAATAATAAAATAGCTTTTGAACTATCGCAGCTTATTCTAAATTAGTCAGTGTACATGTGACCTTCAGCGTGCTACAAAATGCTGCATTTCTTCGATAACTACCCGAATGAATCTTACAGTATCAACAGTTTCTGCCTTACTGTATTTCCAATACTGCCTACAAAATATTACCATGAATCGGAGATACTGGATATCGCAGACACATCACTGTCGCCATACAGACATTTCACCTATTGATACATTGTATTTCACATATCCCTTTTTCCGCCATCTGTGACCGTAACTTCTTTACAAAATCAAAATTCAAAAATGAGATTCTGATACATCTTCAATAAAGTATTTGCACTCTCACTCATTTTTATTCAAAACTATTTCTCAAATCTTGACAACTCTTACTTTCAATCCATATCCCAACTGTTCCTCAAATCCGGTCAGCCCCAAACACTCTATCAGCACACAATTCTTTAAAAATTAAATTATCTCAGAAAAAAACAAAATTGTGTACAAGGACCGACAAAACCCTAACATTGACAAAGGGAATATCCACCTTGATCCCTGAACCAAATCAAATCGCTGGAAATACGAAGAAAACGGTCTCCTTTTTCATACCTGATCCAGAGAGTTTTCACAATAGGGACTGTAAAATTTCACACCAACAATCGATAAACGAGCCAAGCTACCGTAGGAAATAGCGGTGGGGATTACGGGGAGAGGAGTTTTTTGAGGCTAGCTCTTTCATTTCGTTTTAAGTTCGTCGGGATCCTATACTTCTGAACTTAAATTCGGCTCCAGCGTTCGATGAAACATTAAGATGTGGCCGTGAAAATATGCTCGAATGGTTTGGTCTCACTATCGGCGAAATGGTGTCACTTTGGTTTTTATGCTATATATAGGATTCATTCATTGTTTTTAAGTTGTCGATGTCATCGATACACTACAAATTCAAAGCAACACTCGAATACAAAACACTGGTATTTGATGGCTTACATATATCTGTCAATGATCTCAAGAAGGAAATATGTGAAAAGGAAAATATTAAGGTGGGAAATTTACTGTTGTAAGTTCATTCGATTTGTAGGGTATACAAATTACAGAAATTCATCTAAAAGGAAGAAATCTTATATATGGGTAGGTTTTCTATTTCTAGTTAACCTGCAGTTTGAACAATGGAATATTAGTGGTACTGGTACTTATGAAGTACTGAGTTCATTATGATTGAAGAAGGCAACTATAATAAGCTTTCTTCTAAATCTCTAAATCATGATGGAGAGGTGTTTATAATTGCCAAAATGATTTTTAAAGTAATTTGTATTGCTAAACGGTATGTAATTTGAGGAGCTGAATCGCAAAAATATTTTAGCAGGGAGTTTTTCGGAAGTGCTTCAATAGATATGTTTCTTAATTAAAATGAATTTTTAGGCAGAATCCTTCGACTTGGTGTTGACAAACGCTCATACAAAGCGGCAGTATACGGGTGACGAATTGATTCCACGAAATTCATCGGTAATTGTTCAGCGAATACCACGTGATAATGCTGGGAAATTGCCAAAAGTGCAGTAAGTTTATCATTTAGATTTAATTTCTTGAGAAATGTTTCCTTTCAATATTGTTCCTTCTGTTTTCATAAGGTTTAGTTATTTAGTGTTCCTTTAATTTTTCGTTTGTTACATTTTTCCAGAATATATCGACGAACTGATGAATCAAAAATTTTTTCAGAGACACTATAAATTCAGGAATTGTGACCAAGCCTACTCCAGCTGAAGCCCCGGCTGTTGGGCATATTGATTCAGTAAGCATAATTCGTGTTTTTCATAATTCGTAATTTGTGTTTTTTCAAACTACGTGTTTTTTTTTTGGGTAACGCCGAATTAAAAATTTATGAATTTGCTGAAGCTTTTAATTGTTGTTACTGAATCAGCGTAAATTTTTTCAGGAAGAATTCGACAAGATGACGGAAGAAGAACGTTTGGCACATGTAAAAGAAGTTTCTACATACAAATATTTACCTTCAAAGTACGTAACTAGTTTTTGCCACCTCTACCAGTATATAGCTTCATGTTTTAACTGTAGATTTTATGAGGAACTGTGGGCTGGAAGTCTTATTTTTGCATCCAAAATACTTTGATGTATGTACACACACATTTTTTTCTCATTTCCACAGCAGCATTCATTATGACTGTTGTTTAGGGATCCATTATAAGTCTATAAATGGTAATATCAAGTTTCCTTAGAATATGTCATTAGTAGAAGATATATTTATTGTGCATATACGACGATAGCATCAACTGAATTTGAAATATCAGATAATGTATGATGCGGAAAATGTGCTTTTGGAGGACAGAAATATTATACATTGAAGGATTTTGTACTCTATATTATATGAATTACTGGAAAAAATTTTTAGCTTTCAAAAGAAGACGTCATCGATTATGTCTGGTCCACCGCCACCAACTTACGTATGCAATCGATGTTCACAGTCGGGACACTGGTACAAAAATTGTCCAATGGTAACGGTCATTCTATATTTATACTTTTACGTTATATCATTTAATACACGCAGGAAAGATCTACTGTTTCATATGTACACATTTGTTTATTGATTTAAATGATATAATTTGATTATTTTTTCATACTTTCAATTTTATCATACGGGTATATCATTCTTTAATCATTTTTATCGCATATTTTCCATGGGTTAATCATTATCACTCTTCTTTGAGTTGATGTTTTCAGTGTTGAGTTTTTCGTTTTCATTCATTTTATTTGTAAACACCAATGAAACTGTAACAGTTCTTGTCATTGAATGGTATTTTGGATGGGAGGAGAGTAGTGGAAATCATTTTCGAGAGAGATCAAGCGAAATAGCAATCATGCAAAGAATGGCAAAGTAAAAATCACTCTGATGTTATTCAAACATCAAAAAGCAAAATTAAATTGGTTGATTCTGTTTGAACGTTTTTTAAATATTTAATTTATTTTCCTCGATGACTCTGATGAACTTGAATTTGTAATTTATAGTTCAAATAATCTCGCAATCTCTCTCACTGTATTTTATTTTTCCGAGTAAGTTTTGTTCACCGCCTATAAAAGAGATAAATTGTACTGTATTCTTCGTTTATTTTTTTCCTTCATGAGCATTAGTATTCTGACGTTTCGAAAAAGGAAAGTTTATTTCATAATTTGGAAATGGAAGAATCTCTGATGATACAGTAATGGAAAAAGGTCTGCGTTTGCGGGAAGGAGACACTGTGGAAGAAATATCAAGAATGCAGTGATGTTCTAGTCTTGAAGATAGTCTGTTGTAAGCTTAATCGGAAATATGCTTCATTTACTTGGTTGAAATCACTGATAGAATGGGATTTTTTAAGTGGAGTTATAAAGTCAGAAGTATTATTAAGAAAACTGGTTGGGAATGGCGAGATGTTATGTGATTATCAGTGGGTACGACATTATCAAGTGGAAGCTGATTGCCTTCCTTCCTGATAAAGTTGTTTTTGTTTTCGATATTAGGTTGGGAAACTTGTGTTATTTATGACATGTCAGTGATGTAAGGTGAAAAGATATGGTGAAGTGTGTGTATAGGTGAATGATCCAAATTCTTCATATTGGTCATATTAGATAAAAGTCCACAGATTGTTATGATGTAGCTTAGCACGTCAGTAAAAAAAACGTGTATATCATTTGTACATTTATAATTTCCTTCTTTTAACATTCTGTAAGTCGTTGGACAAATGCACAAGTTGGATACTTTTAAAATGTATGTGCGTTATCACTTTTTGTGCAATAACATTTTTTTCTTTAATTTCATGGACGTTTCGAATTTAAACATCAAGTTTAGCTCTTAGCCAAAAAGTGAAGCGGACAATGCGTTTGATGACATCGAAACGTATATGAAATAAAAGAATTTTGTGACGCATGAAATGATACCACAGATTAAAAATACGCACTAACATTTTACTTTACATTATTGCTCTACCGACATGTTTACTATTATTTGTTAGAAGGCTGCTACATCTCGTAATAAATCCGATATTTGTTCATTAGTCATAATAGAATAAAAGATATAATTTCCTATATTAGGATGCAGTTGCAATGAAATATCGGAAAAATCCGAAATTAATGAAGAAGTTGAGTTGGGTATCTGATAACGAAAGTTTAGACGAGTTCAAATTTAAATTTAGTGCTTGAGTTCGAGCTTCTTGTTTCTCAACTTCAAAAGCAAATTGATTTTCGATTGAGTGGGTTCGAACTCTACAGCTAGGGAACAATAGGATTTGTGAATTATTCATTGTTTCAGATTTCGAGGTTATTAGCTTTTTCAGGTTATACATGTGTGTCACAATTTCAGGTATCCCTAAATTTAGTGGTAAGTTGTTTAATTTATTGTTGCAGCAATTTATCTTGCATATTAATTAAATTTCTTTATATTTTTTTAGCTGAATACACGTCGTACAACGGGTATAACTATGGATGAGTTGATGGAAACAACATCGGATGATCCGCTGGCGATGTTGCATCCATCCGGAAAATATGTTGTGCCAATTATGCACTGGAAAGCACGCCAGAAAAAGCCCGAAGTTGCCAAACCGGAGCCCGAAATACGGTATCTTATCATATTTCGATCTGAATTTAATTTGGTTTCGTAGTAAATCGTCATATGTGAGCTTTGCTGTGATAAAACCCAACTCCTCTAGTTTTCTTTTTAGATTCTAGAAGATGTATTACCCTCCTAACAATTATCGTTTGGTAAGAGGGAAGGAGATTCCATTAAAAGTATGTAAACAATATTGAAGTTGAAATAAGAAAGGCTCTTATTTCAATATTGTTTACATGCTTTTAATCTTTCTTGTACTAATAGGTAAAATGCGTAATGCACTAATTACTACGAAAAGATAAGCGCTTTATAGGCCAGTTAATCATTCAGATCCTTATAATTAGTTAATTCCATGAAATTAGAATTAGGCTCTATTTGTTTCGTCCGATCTTAATTTACCTGATGAGAAAAACAAATTGCTATTTTTTTTCCCGATTTTAAAAAGTGACTCAGGTAGTACGCTTTTCTTGATATGCTCTGGAAATCGAATAGCTTGTGTAATTCACATTTTTCTAATAATTTCGCAGAATCACAAAAATTTTAGAGAAATACCACCAGAACTAAAATGCCCGATATGTTCACAACTTTTACGTGATGCTGTCTTAACAACCTGCTGTGGTGATAGCTTTTGTGCGGATTGCTTACAGCAACGTTTACTGGAAACCCCGAACGCAAAATGTCCTGGAACAAATTGCTTTCAAACTGCTGTGTCTGCTGACAAATTGGTTCCAAATTTAAAGGTTTAAATCAAATTGAATTGAGTTTCAAATTTTGTTGTGTTTAGATTTCCTCTGGAATTTGGGGGTAATGGAAGATTTAACTGTATTATCATTACTTTTTAATCCTTACTAATTCGAAATGAATACTGTCTGAAATTTTCAGATGCGACAAGCCGCTGAAGCATTCAAACATGGCGCAGTTTATAGTACGGCATTTGAGAGTGCAAGTAAGTAGTGTTTTCAAGAATAACGTAACTTTAATATTATAATAATTTATTGGGAAAATAAATTTAGATAATTCACCACGTATTGATGAGCAGCCAGTTCAGTCGGTTTCACGTGTGCGTATTGGCTTGAGCGGTCGTCCGCAGCAAGTTCAACCTGCAATTCTAATTCAGCAGCAGCAGCAGCAACAACAACAAAAACAGCAACAGCAAGAGGCAGCTGTTATTTCTTCACCACAGTCACAGGTTTATTCATGCAATATTTTGCGAAATTGAAATTTTTCGAATGAAAAAGAAAGTGTGTCAAATAGGTTTTTCAGTTTCTAATAAAGCATAATAGCATTCAGCAAATTATTGTAAATAACCGTATTGGAGCAGCGCTACTGTTTACCCTATGTTATTTAAAATTTTAATGTTGAAATCAAAATGTGCACCACAATGGTTGAAATCATGAATATTAGATAGTCACATCCATCATCACCTGTTAGAATGTTGTTATGCACTATTAATGTCACTAGAATATGGCGTCTGTGTGCAAATAGTATCAATTTTCTTTATGGGGAACTCGGAATTAGTTTTGTTTTATGGGACTCCGAACTTTTCTCATCAAAATGTTGCGCAATATAAGTATTGTGATGCTAACTTGGAAATGAAGTAAATGTATTGGAAATTAGATTATACAATGGTTTCACTTTGCAGATCCAAACATCACCAGCATACGTCATACAACCTAGTACAAATATCACTATTCCGGCAGTCCTCCAATCTCAAACGGCCATAAAGCAATTTCCTGGGAATACCGTCATGTCATCCCCAGGAACAGCATCCGCACAAAGTCAGCCAAAAGTTATTGCGCCTACTGTTGTAGTTCCAAATGTACAGCAGTTAACCGTTGCTCCACCACCTCTTCCTTTACCGGTAAATGTTCACCAACCACCTCCCGGTTATCCAACTATACTTCCACCAGCTCAGCCAATACATGTTACTACTAGTTCATCAACAGAGTCTATCGCATCAGGGACACATACTGCCAGGTACTACCGTGTATTTTTTGAATCCGGAGTTGGATTTGTATTATTCTTTTCTAATTTTTTCAAGAAATCAGAAAGTTAAAAATGAATTTTTTAGAAGTATAAGTGCCGCCCATTTAACCACACCTCCGTTATTGCTTCCACCAGGCCTGCAGCCACCACCACCAGGTATATGTTCATCAACATTTAGACAATAAATTTGAATGACGGAAAGATGTAAAAGAATTTTAAACATTCCGGGTTTTCAGGGTTGTCAGCAGTTATTTATCCACGTGTTCCAGCTCCACCACCTATCAAGGATGCTTGGGATGAATATCTGGAACGGAAAGATAAAGTAATTTATTGTCTTGTTCATTTCAACTGTTTTCAAAAGTCTTTCGATTTGTAGAAACTGCCAACTTTCTTGTGAACTCAGTATGTGGTTTTTCTTTTTCATGAAACTGTTTTCGAAGGTTCGATTTTCTTTTTTGTAAGCTGCAGATTTTGCAGGAAAATCGTCAGAGAGCCGCTGCACCAACCTCACGTCGCCGTCGTCGCTCTACGCGTAGTACTTCGTATTCAAGTAGTAGTGCATCTTCCGAATCATCAAGTCAGTCATCACGATCTCGGTCGAGATCGTCCTCTCGTGATCGAAATAGATCGCATCGTGACAAAAGACGTAACGATGGTCGCGAAAAGCATTCCTCGAGAAGAAGAGAGTAAGTTCTTTTTTCAAATTTTGGTCTTATTTTCTCTATGTTCTTAGCAAATTTGAAATTTGGACTGCTAAGAAACTTATTCCTAATTTGTCGATAAATACGATGAAATATTATCAAATATCAATTATTCTAGCTCACGATCACCATTTCGCAGTTCATATGCTAGCACACGTTACCATCGCGATAATCTAGCGTCATCTTTTAATTTATATCAGCATGCATCAAATGCTGCTGCCATCGGCTTACCAGGAGCATCTCTTATTCATCACCGTATTCCATCCTTTATGAACAATTATTGCTCGTCACAGTATGCGTCAAATCAAACAAGCCAGATAACGAGTTACAGTTCTTTCAATAATGGGCCAGTTCCGAGCTATCGATCATCGAGAACATACCTGGATGAACGCAGTAGAAAACATTCACCGAGGTACGGTTAAATCTTGAGATTTCTCGAATACTTTTCTATTTTTTTTGTATATTTTCTGTTTGTATTAATGAATATTTTCAAACTGTTTGCGAAAGAAACAAAAAGTACTTCAGATCAGTACAGAATCGGCGAAGGAATGGGAGTAGAGAACGACATAATGACCGGAAAGAGCGAACCGAGGAACGGAGACGAGGAAGGGATGGTGATGAAAGGACACGTCGAGAAGATCGTGAGCGGAGGCCAAAGGAGGACAGTGATAGAGAAGAAAGACGACAAAAGGTTCACATGATTATCTTGAAACATTTCTGAATAATATTGCGTAAAGTATGAATTCTTAGTTCTCTACGAAATTTATTTTTCTTTCAGAAAGATAAATACAAACGGCGCCAAGAAAAAGAATCGAAAGAAACAGAAAATGCAACGGAGGGAAAACAGGGAAATACATTCAAAATAGAGGAGGACAAAGATGTCTATAGTGGTGATCTAAAAAAAATAGGTGTAGATGGAGAAGTTAAAAAGGAAACTACTCCGCTAATCGAAAATAAGGGAGCTGAAAATGACGTTGGAAATGTTGAAAATAACGTGGAAAAAGAAAACGATACAGTGGATGAAGCCTTGCCGGATGAGACAGCAACCGAAAGTGGTGTGTCCGGTTTCCAGATTGACCATGATGATGGTTCCGGAGCAGAAGCTGAAAATGAAAATGAAGGATTGGATGACGAAAAGGAAGCTAACAATATTACGACCGAAGTGATGGAGGAAGACAAGGATAGAAGTGAGAAGAAAAAACATAAAAAGAAGAAGAGAAAACATCGGAAACATGAAGGAGACGGACTGGAAGATGATGAAACTGGACGTAAGAAGCATAAAAAGCATAAGCGTAGTAAAGAAGAGAAAGAACAACGAAAGCAAGAAAGGGAAAAACGACGTGAAGAGCGTCGAAGGCGACGACAAGAAAGAGAAGCCGGACGGGTGAATACTGCCGAAAATGTAGAGAATAAAGGAAGCGAATATGAAATAAGCAGTGTTGTTACGGGAATACACGAAAATGCAATGAACGTTGATGTTAAGATAAATATGGATGAAGTCAAAAAGACTGCTGTTTTGGGGTCCGTGGAGTTGACAAATTCCGGGATACCGGAGCAGAAACGTGAAGAGAAGGCAGTGAAAGGAAACAAACCAAGAGAAGCTCAGGAAGGTAGTGGAAACGGGAAAAAAAGTGATGGAAAAGAGGGACGAAATAATGATAGTCCTAGTCTTCCGAAGAATAATGAACGAAAAAATGCGAGAGAACGTTTTAGGCATGAAAAAGATAGGAGACATAAACACGATTCAAGCCGTAAACGGGATGAATCGAAAGATGATTCACGAATTAATAGAAAAAGAAGCAATGGAAAGGAAACCAGAAGAAATGAAGATAAAGATTCACGAAAAGAAGGCGATAAGTTCCGAAAAAATGACAAGAATGATGAAAAGATGGAAAGCAGAAGGTAGGAAGATTATGACGTTTTTTGGTTTTACGTATATTTTAATTCGTTTTACCCAGGATTTCATTTTTACTGAAGCTTAGTAATTTTTTATCATTTTCCGAATCCATTTAGAAAATTTAAGGTTGGACAATAAGGAAGAAAAGTCAAGGGGTGGTGAAAGAGAACCCAGGCGATGTGAAAACATTGAGAAAGTTGAACCAGAATCCAAAAAAGAATCGAGACATAAGCAACATGGTGGCAAACGTAGGAGCGAAGTAAGTGTTCGTTATTTGTGGTTATCAATTACATCATTACGGATTTCTAATTGCACTTAACGCTCGAAACTTCCAAATGCAAAAGTTTCCATTTTTTGTTTCAGACTAGTCGTCCTGACCACAAGCGACCACGTCTAAGGAGCCATGGTAGTCATGATGAACAGCGTAATGGTACCAGTATGACAGATCAAAAATTCATATCAGAAACATCTGATGCAAAGAAAGTTGAAATCAGTGAAGTTGATTCAATGGTGCGAAATGAAACTGACCCATTGTTGCTGAATCAGAAAAAATCAGGCTTGAATTCACGGACAGTGTCGAAAGCTATGGATTCTGTTGAAAGAACTGAAATTCATGAAGCATCCGGTCAAAAACAATTGGATGAAATTAAAGTTTCAATTGAGAAGGAGCTGGAACGGAAAGTTGAGGCAGTATCGGCTTCCAGCAATTATAATATGCCAAATTTGACCGTGGAATTAAAATCGGGGGGTGAGGTCAGTTTTTATTCAGTATAGGTGACCTGTAATAAATCAGATATCGCAACAGTACTATTAAATTTCTGATTCCAAACTAAGGAGCTTATTTGTTCCTAACTATTACATGAGTGAGAAGAGTGGAGACGAGGAAAACGAAAAGGAAAGAGATGGAGGAAAGGAAGGCTGTATTCACTGTTTATAAAATTTTAGAAAATTTTCTTGAAAATAATAAAATACATTAGTTTTTGATTAAACGCATCTATTGACTGAGCGCAAAATAACGAGCTGTGGGTAATAAACACTGGTTTAGAATTAAGATTAATTATATTTTTTTTTTAGAAACGAGTGACGCGAGAAAACATTTTCGAAGGCGCGACACCGCATTTCAACGCACGCCAAAAGATAAAAATGATTCTACTATCCGAAAGTGAGCGTAAAGCTGCCGATCGATCGTCTAAAAAGAAATCGGGAGTGAAGTGATCTAGAAATTTATATATAGACAGAGGAAGAAACTGTTATAGGATTCAAATAGGCAGGCAATCTTTTTTATAGTTCAGTATTCCTAATGTCAGGACAGTTTTCATCATTGAAGCAAGTGAAAATGTTATCTACTGTGTATGAGATTTTATTTAACTCTCAGCTCATCCTTATGTGAACTGTATTTCTGTATATAACATTCAGTTTTTTATGCAAAAACTTTTTAGTTACACATTTCTAAATCTCCTAATTTTTAAACTTTCCAAAATTCCGATAAAACCTATTGTTATGTTTTATTTTCTGATGTACAAATCCTGGAATGGTCAAATAATTCATCCAGTAGTCGTTTTACAATGATAAGATTCAATCCCGAATCTACTTCTTATTCAACCGATGTCATACACATATACTGCGGGAAATTTTTTATTGCTTGTTCAAGTTCATATTTCTAGAAATGAAGTATATTTTTCCTTGTTGTTTGCCTTCAGACAGATCCATAATCTCGAAAATGCTGTACGGTGCCATCTTATTGACATAATTGGCTATATACCGAGCAAATATGTATTCTTCAATGGTAGCTGTTGTTTTTATTGTTGTACGAGATAAAAACGGCTTTATTGTTCAATAATTCTATGTGGAAAAACAATCGTTTTAACAAGCAATAAGAAAAAGAATTACTGTTAATTGGCTTGAATAAATTTCAAAAGAATTTATTGAGATTTACATAATTTATTCTTTAAAAAAGTCTGAAAACCAGAGCACCTTTAAAACATATTACAAAAATCGCCGATACTACGATATGACTGTAATCTTTACAATATTATATCTATAAACAGTAGTGTTGTAAAGGCGTTTATAAATCAGTGAACATCTCTAAATCACGCCAAATATTGCAAAAATGCAAATTAAGTCTACAGCAAATTAGACAGTGAAACAATAAAATAAAACGCGCGAAGAGATATCTTTTGAATCATGACTTGGTGTAAAGCAAAGCAATAAACTCACATATCTTGCAGTATCCCCATTCTCACAGAGAGTAGGTCAAAAAAGAACGGAAATGAAAAGATTAAGACAAAAGAGTTCTTGCGAAATCAAAGTTTTCACAGGATGTAATCCGTTGACAAGATCCCATAGGGCTTCAAACTTTTGACAATTTCGCTCATCTTCATGTCGGGATCGTAGGCAATCTCAGTCTCTCCGTCCAAATTTTCAATTAAGTGTACCTTATCTGATGAGTAAACCATGATTTCTCCATCCGCATTGCACGGCATATAGCACCTAAAATGAAGTTTGAAACTTTTTTAGGCTTTTAAATTCTTCATAAGAATTTTACAGAATAATCTCCACTCTTTGGAATAATCTCCAAAATTCACATCGTGGTACCAGCTTACCTCTTATCCTAACATTTTATTATTTATTCAATATGTAATTTAATAGGATTATTAATTTCTACGACCGGTCAACATCACTGAGACATTCTTTTTAATTCGCCCAAGTATGTAGCAAGATTACTCAAATAGCGATGCCAGACTTCTTAAAAAGTTTTGATTTTTTTAGTAAAAACTTTATAATATTATGCCTGCTACTACGGTGCTTTTCTTAATTGAAATCTCCAAAAAACAATACGGATTTATATCATTCTCTAATATTTTGACTTTTTACTTATCTGTAACGGAAAACAAATTTTGATTTAATGGAATTTTTTATGCAAATAACGAAATCTCGTAGAATTTAGAAAATGTAGGCAAAAAATGAGCAAAAGCGGAAAAGAAGGTATAAAGAAAGCAAGAAACAAAAAAGGTACAAAAAATGAATTGAATAAGAGAAAATGAATAAATTAATATCAAAGACGAAGGTAAAACTGACTGAACTTACCAGCTATTACATTCTTCATCCAATTCCGATGTAGAACCTCTCGCTGGCTTAACGCGTTTGAAATTTGCACTAGACCGAATTTCGTCAATTAAATTCTGTGAAATTCGCCGTCTTTCTTCCTTTGTAGTATAATCAGCTAGGTCGAGTAAAGGTTTGTTATGGATATATTCCTGAACCAGTAATGTATTCTCATTTACACACTCTCCAGCAGTTTCCATAGCTTCGTGAGGTTCTTCCGTCTCATCGTTCTCCGTCCGAACTTTCTTCATTGATGGTTCTTCACCAGGAACTGTTGGTAAGAGATGAAGTTCTTCAGTTTCTTGTTCATTTTCAATAGTTCCGTGTAAGCGTTTCTGTTCTAATTCAATACTTCCCTTCCAACCATGTAAATCGCTTTTTAGGTTCTCTTCCTTGGCACTAACAGTCCAACTACTAGCAAGTTCAACACTCTCAGCCGCAGCCTCCAGTTCCTCGACTGGTACAGGCTCATAGCCTTCAGGTATTTCCTCGCTTTCAAATACAACGTACTGACCATCAGCATCTTCGCCATATGTATACAATACAGGACCATTCACCTCATCCGGATGACGTTGTCCACGACGAAGTGAGCCATCTGCTGACAAACTTTTTGCACGATCTATCCTACCTAAACGATTTTGTCGAAAGTATGATTTGCGTACGCGACTCCACGACGGATAAATTTTCGGCAATTTATTGCTTGAAGAACCTTCCGTGGATGCAAGATCGATTGCTCGATAGAAACCCTGAAAATGACCCCTCTCTTTTTTAGAAATGCTAGGAATAATGCCATCATACAATGACTACAATTTGTTAGGAATGATACTACTATGAGCAGTTATTTCTATGGTATAAAAAAAAAACATACCTTAAGAGAAAAAAATCCTATAATACCGAAATCATTCATAAAATTCAACTGTATAATATAAAGCAGATAATACTTGTCCTAAAAGAAATAAACAGAAAGCAGGTATTTGATCAGGATGGAAATGATCAGTACCTCAGCATATGCTGCTTTCGGTGTTTTAAGACCGATTCGTATGTCTTTCCGATTTGCACGATCCAAACTGGTTGTTGTTGCTTCGATTCGTTTGGTTGGTTTACAATCTGGATGATGTCGATGATGTTTGGTACCCACAATACGACCATTTTCCATAATCAAATATGCTTGTGGTGCACTTTTATCATTTCGGCGAAATTTGAGACATTGATTGCATCGATAATAACGCTTTCTACCATCTCCCGCAACTCGAACCAGTGCATATTGTCGAACATTTTCATCATCAATCGGAACTGTGACGATTGTTTCATTTAAATTCCTTGATAACGAATAACTGTACGTGTACGCTTCTTCATCATCAAGTCTGAAATATTTTGGTATTTGCTGTTTTGGCTTAAGTTTAAATTTTCCATCATTGTGTTTTGGTAAAAATTTATGGCACAACTTATCCGTAGAACATTTAATCCATCTAATTCATTGAGAAGCACTGCGAAAATATTTCAAACTCAAATAATTTAAAAAAAGATGTACTCGTCTGCTCCAGCTCGCCGTTGATGATAACCTCGTTTACGACGTACTTTAACATTAACCTGAAAAGATAGAAAAGATGTATGATACGTAATACATTATAATCTCTTTTTTGTTACTAACAGCTAAGTAATAAAACAGCACACCTTGCCCTTCAATCGCCTAGCAAGAGTCGATTTGGAAATAATCAAACCAGCTTCGTCTTTCAATAGTTGACTTAAATCAATCAGTGACGTTATTTTCCCCTCCAAATAATCTTCAATCAATCGAACTGCTACACTATCTTCTCCGAATTCCCCATCCAAAGCTTTCTCTTTTCCTTGATTAGTATCATCTGCAAAAAAACTACAATACATATTTAATCTCCATCTGTAGCTGTGCAAAAATAAAACTCAAGATGAACATTTTAGACAGATTCATCCATATTAATGTATAATTGATCTTTGGGCTTAATTATGAATTAAAATCTAAAAAACTGATGCAGAAATTCTGAATAATTTTTCGAATTAGAAACAAATAAATTCTCGAATTTGCTTAGTAATGAGTGCATATTCAAATAAAATTCTAATTATGATTAAAAAAATAGACTTCCACTAGATGACATTCTGTGGCACTGCTTTCTTCAGCATAAACACCACCAAACTTCGCTTGTTTGTAATCTGGAAAAAAATTAAGTCGTGAAATATAATTCTTGTCATTACTAATCAGAGTCCCGGTGACGCTAATGTAAGGAGTATTTGCATGAATGGATAAAGGAAACAGACAAATGCATCATCTATTGTACAGGTAAAAATGAAGATAAAAGATAGCAGTATTTCGAATTGAAAGTAACACATACCATTCTGACAGTCGGACGCAATGTGGCAATAAGTATGCTCCCAAATTCTGGATTCAGCTAAGATACTTTTGTACCCTCTCAAGCTGGAGGGAAATCCAATTTCAAAGAGGGAATGCTCGCAACATAAATTTGTTCCGTATGAAAACCTCGACATCCCGATAATCCGGTAAAGGGGGGAGGGAACCACCACGCAATGAATGTATCGAACCGCCCACAGATCATGACATGCTAATCAAAAAATTCCGAAACAGTGAAAACGCTCTATCTCGTTTACTTCAGATAAATCAGTTTTGAAGTTTGAATTCCAGACCATTCTTTTTTTTAACAGTTGCTTTGTACGAAACACCCCTCTCGCTACTACCTTCTATTGTTACTAACAGTGCCTCCTCCGCTGGTTCCACATGACCACTTATTTTTTTAAATAATTTTTCATTAAGGTAATAAATTCACACATATGCCCAAGTTCAACAGATGGGAAAACAATATTTTAAGCTGCACGAGAGAATAATTTTGCTTGTTTTCGGTACTGTTATCGAAAATGTTCCGACGTTGAAATGACGAACAAATTTTTCTATTTACATCTAATAACATTTTAATATAATTTAATAGTATTCGCACTTCAAAACAAACCCTATAGTTTTACAGAACGCTTAGTTTCCATATTTTTGAAGACTATTTTTTTCCCTGATATCAAAATTACTCGGTCTAAGTCTTCTAAATATTTTTCTTCATTTACATACTAGAAGAGTATATAAACTTCAACTTCTTCGGAAAGATGTTGCTGGAAACTACTGTAACGTTACGAGTTACAGCGATGGCTGAGCCAACGATGATCACTATCCAGCCAACCTTTATATAAATGTCACACACAATACTCAATCAAACCGACTAGCAACAGTTTTTCCGACTACTTAACTGTAATTAAAAGTATCGACCAGGAACGCAAAAAATCTTGTATCGAAGCACTGCGAAAACATTGTGTTCTAACTTTCCCAATGCTACGCCTCACGTGAATTTTACAAACGAGTTGTGTATATTCTTACGTGGACTTTTGAAATAAATATAGCGTTGTGCATGACTTCCTAACGTGATCACACGTCAACGACTACATGACCATACAAAAAACAACTTTATTCTCAAACTTCCAAACTGTTTGTTAGATTTCAAGGAGTATCACTTCTGTACTGACATAAATCAGCACTGATTCACCTTTCTCAACAATGCTTATATTTACGATATTACACGTAATACACGTAACGGCCCTCCCTCTTCTCGCCATGGTACCAAACCGACCTAATTTCACATCGCGTCATTTATGAAATTCGCCACGAATCAACATACACAAGCAAAGGCAAGAAATGGAAGAGGCCAAACAGCCAATGAAAATTCCTTGTCTCTCTCCCCCTGTAATGAGGGTGAGGATGGAGACGTGCAGGGGAAGGGAGCAAAGAAAGAGGAAAATGAAGTGTAGCGCAGAGAACGAGAGAGAATGGAAGTGTAAGAAAGATGAGGAGAACTGCAAGAAAAATTAGAGAGAAGAAAAAGGAATATGTAGTAATCGATAACAAGAGGAGCCGTGGAAAGATGAAGAGGATGTGCGAAAGCAGACATCGAGTCGAGTGAGAGTTCATCAGTTGCTTTGGCTACTACAGCTACGACATATTCGACATTTCGCTACAGGTAGGCGGAGCTCAACAGAAAGGCGTGAGCTTCCCTGTGTCTCTTTATTTCATCGCTGTTCACGTTTTGTGTTCATAGATGTCCGTCCGGCATGCTTTGTTCTGCGTGTGTGTGGCATTCACGTATATTCACATCCTTGAGGACGATGTTATGAACAGGTTTTTTGATAATACGCAGACTTTGAATGCAACTTAATCACACATTGATTAATACTCTTTCTTTGAATACCGAGATATTACGTATTCTTTCTTCCTCACTTTCCAATGTACAATTTTACCGATATCAACACTCAAATGGCACGTCATATGAATTTTCATTGCCGCGATTATGCGGTACACTTGAAATGCTCAAATTTATCATTTGGTACAGACCACACAGAAATCGACGTTTGTTAAAAGTGCATCAGCTACGTTTCGTTCCCGCAAATATTACTATGAAATTAAGAATAGCTTGTTACTAGCTTGCTGATATTTGCGTGCCTATTGCTAAAATATTTTATTGTTTTTTCCGAGACCTCATTCCATTTTATTTTACATATTCAAATATTTAGGATGTGAAGAAATGTATTTCTCATATCTTCTTCGTAATAACATATTTTTACGCATTTATTTATTTGTTTATCTTTAATGTTAACTGGTCAGTCCACTGATTTATTTATTATGTCATTCCACTTATTAAACTGACTATTTAGTTTATTTGCTCGTTCATTTTCATTGCGCACAATAGCAACTTGATTTTCTAAAATTCAATGCATTTCGGCGAAATTGTATCAAGCTGATTAACTAATTGTCTCTGACTCTTTCCACTTAATTCTTCATTTCACTGAGTTTCGTAATGTAATAATTTTATAGGATCCTTTCATAATTCCGTTATTAATCGATATCGTATGATATTTCAAAATGCATAATTTTTGCGCTTGAATCGCATAAAATGTTCCAGAGAACTCACTCAGTTACTACAAGCATCGGTCAGTTTGACTCTTTGCTACGTTTGCCCTTGAGGTTAAAGTTACCGTGCAGATCGGTAAGCTGTTCCATGGATTTTGGTAATGCGAAGCATCTTGCGCCGTTATGAATTACTTCCGCTTAATGCTTCAGAAGCAACTTCAGCTGTCAAATCGACAGACGAAAATTGTTTGCGTTAGTTTTACATGTATTTCTTTTTAAAAAATAAAGAACGGATATTAGTCCATGAAAAAATCAAATTATCGTTTTTTTGTACATGTGACTGACCTTATCACATTTTTTTTAAATTTGCAGCGCAATTTTTTATTTGCGTCAAAAAGGAATCCGAAAACGGCAAGAAGTGGCTTATGGAAACGCGTTAGGGGACAGATTCGGAACTGCTTTCACCCCAATGCAAACAATCTATCGCCGATGGAGGTGAGTACCCGTAACTGCCATGTAAAGTGATATAAAAATAGAAGAAGTGAAGTAGAAAAATTTTCTATTATTGAAAAAAACTTGAGATGAGTTGGAAAATCCTTATTTTATTGTTTGCAAATTTATTCATTTCTGGGAATGTACTGTTGTTAAAAATCTAGATTTACTATTAATATGTTAGATATGTAAAAAGTCTGCTATGATGTTAGGGCCGGAATATATTACCGATTTACCGAAATTATTTGTCGATTTACCGAAAGTATTTATCAATTTGTGCAGTTTTCCTTTGGCAAGCAAATATCGACAGCAGAATTGGTGAAGACAATGTTACAATCTGTTTGGCCAAGAGGGAATTGGAAAATCCGACGACTTTATATTTATTCCATGGTGCTTCTTATTGTGGCGAAAGTAAGCTGAAGTATCCTAAATGCTTTTTATCCTTTTTTTAAGACTTTATTCATTTTATGGAACTGATCAGCTTTCCGATTTAAAATTTTTCATCTCAGTTCATCAGTAGTTCAACGAATAATATTCCTTTACTGCTACAGATGCTGAACGTTTATGTACCGTTCCTGTTGAAGAATATAATTAACTATTACAATGAATCAGTACCAACTGATCTTCAGCTGTCAACTAATAGTTATAGCAGCATGCTTGGAATTGCGGCATTCTCAATTATTGTAACTTGTCTGTTTTATATGATATGTTCTTTTTTGATAATAACTGGAAATTTTTTAAATTTTGAAATCTAAAGACAAATTCGATGAAGCATAAATTTTTGAATCTGTGAATAAATAGGATTTATAGATGTATTTGGATGAGTTTTTTTGCACAGATAAAATTAGTTTACTGTAATCAATGCGCATTACAGATGGTGCCGCACGTAGTGGTTCTTCGTTATTTAATGAGCTTCGGAACGCAGTATTTGCACGTGTTGCACAATATAGCATTCGTAGCATTGCACAGCAAATTTTCCTTCACTTGCATTCTTTGGATTTATCGTTTCATCTAAGCCATCAAACGGGGGGTATGTCGAAAGCAATAGACCGAGGCACTCGAGGTATGGCATTTGTACAAAGTGCGCTGGTCTTTAATGTGGTACCTACGGTGATTGAAGTTGGCATGGTCTCAGGATTGTTGGTGAGACACTTTCTTTAAAAAAGTTCAAAATATGCATATTTTTTTCAGTTTTCATTACACCTCTGACGTTTACATTACTCTTTTTTTCAGTATATCAATTGTGGCCCTTCGTTTACATTTGCAACATTAGGTTGTCTTTCAACTTATACTCTTGCGACGCTAGGAATCACCAAATGGAGGACTAAATTTCGGCATCAGATGAATCAGGCTGATAATGATGCGAGTAATCGTGCAGTCGATTCGTTAATCAATTATGAGACTGTGAAGGTTATTATGAATTTTACAGTAAATTTTGCAATAAACAACCGATAAATGCTCGATTTTTAAGAATTAATGGAATCAAATAAATCCATTGTTTCAGTATTTCAATAATGAAAGATTTGAAGCGGATCGGTATGATTTTTTCCTGAAGAAATATGAAATAGCAGCGTTGAAGGCGAGCACATCATTGGCATTTTTGAATTTTGCACAAAATGCAATATTTAGCGGTGGTCTTGTCGCTGTCATGTGTTTAGCAGCAGCAGAAATTCAAAAAGGTACTTCTATTTTGAAAATTTTAATTTAAAAGATTCTAATATGAGCATTTTTATCCAACATTGTTTATCCTGTCTAAGCAGTTTATTCGGTAACTAATATTCTATCATATAGAATGTATTTTTGTACATCAAAATCCAAAACCGACACACAATAGGACTTCATAATATTGCATGCATTTCCATTGTATTAGGAAATGAACTCGCTGATACATTTATAGTATTTCTAAATGGTTTCTTTCCTTGCACTGCTTTTTAAATTTTTAAATTAATGGAGCAAATTTCAGGTACGATGAATGTCGGCGATCTTATCCTTGCAAATACATTATTATTCCAATTGTCAGTGCCATTAAATTTTCTTGGTTCAGTGTATCGGGAAATAAAGCAGGGTTTGGTGGATATGCAATTAATGTTTTCATTACTGTACTTGAAGAGCAGTATAATTGTAAGTCTCTTTGAAAATGCATATTACTTTTTTAAGTTTCGTATTACTGATTTGTCCCATACAAGATTAAACGAACAGATTAAGTTTTGTTTTGCTCCAACAATCTTTACTTAACTCTTCTTATGATACATAGAAATCATAGAATTTCGAATATAAAACAACTGCTTTAATTTTGAATTAATGGAATATTACATTTAAGGAAAAACCAAATGCTCCACTTTTGAAAGTTGATATGGGAAATTCGTCCATATCGTTTAGAAATGTTACATTTGGCTATCTTCCGGGACAGCACATATTAAAAGGCTTAAATTTGGATATTCCTTCTGGTAAAAAGGTGTGATTTATTTGACTTTTTTTTATATAAATTCAAGTACGTGGGGGACGTGCGACTAGTATATTATTGGTTATCTTCCTCACTTTTAGCATTTTTTTTGTACAGGTAGCTATAGTAGGTGGTAGCGGAAGCGGTAAATCAACGATTATTCGACTTTTATATCGCTTATTTGATCCGGTGGATGGCGAAATTTGTATCAACGGTCAAAAAATTTGTGATGTCCAACTTGAAAGTTTAAGGAAAATGATTTCTATTGTACCTCAGGTTAAATTTTATTCTTTGTGACTATGAATATTAAAAATATTGAATATTAAAAACTGATGCACTTATAGTTGTGCCCACGGAAGATAGTAAACTTTAGTTTCTTTTTATGAAAAAAATTGTCTGTTTTCTCTATCTTTGTTTTAGAAATTTTAGGATTCAGTCCTTTTTCACGATACTATATATTACAACATACAGTATGGAAATCCAACTGCTGCAGAAGATGAGGTAAATTACCTTTTTTCTCTGTCTTTGAAACGTATTTCATTAGTTTAGGTCAGTTTTATCTTTCACTAATTTTAGATTTTCTATGTGTCGAGATTAGCAAATTTACATGATTCGGTGATACGTTTCAAAAATGGCTACGATACGATTGTTGGCGAAAGAGGTTTGATGTTAAGTGGAGGAGAAAAGCAACGAGTTGCAATTGCTCGAGCGTTGCTCAAAAATGCTCCTATTATAGGTCATAATTTAAGTTTAATATTGTTTAAAAACTTCTGAGTTTTGTTTGAAACTAATATCTCATCGCACATCTGCAATGTGTTGATATGGGTCTGTCAAGTTTGATCTTATTAAGTACAACGTTTCTAAAAATGAGGCTCTTAATTGAAGGTTTGCACTTAGCTTGTTTTCCTCCAAAATCTTATAGTATACTATTTTTTCTGCCTTCTTTCCTTGGATGTGTCCGGAGAAAAGAATTAACTTTTTGAATCCTTTTTCAATTATTATCTGCTTTGAACACATAGACTTAATCCTTCATCGACTCGTAGTAAGTTTAATCCTTTATCGATTATCTCTTTATGATCATATGGCAAAAATTATAGTTTATGACGAAGCGACTTCATCGTTGGATGCTTTAACCGAAGAAAATATTATGCGCTCTATGCGAAACGCCGTGCAGCAACGTACGTCATTGTTCATTGCACATCGTTTAGCTACAGTTATCGACGCTGATATCATCTATGTGCTAGAAAATGGAAAAGTAACCTTTTTTATTTCGTGAATCTTCGAATTTCAATATATATTGTGAAATACAGTGCTGGTTTTCAAAACTTATGAATTTGAAAAACTATAGTAGTTATTCTCTATATACTTAGTAAACTAAGCAAACGCTTTCAAAGTTGTGCTTGTTAAACTAAGCTAATGGTTTCACAGTTTGCTATGAAGTAATATTGACTGAGTAGTGGCAGCATTGAAATTCAAAATAATAGCTAAAAAATTTAATTTTTAACCGTTTTAATTTAAAATACAACGTGAGAAATTATTTGAACACTTCGGGATTGAAAACAAGTGATTTATTTTAGGTGATTGAGAGTGGATCTCATTTTAAACTACTTGAAAAATCTGATGGCTATTATTCTAATCTCTGGAAATCACAACATAAATATTCTGAAGTAATACCATCAAAACAGTCAACATCTGAGTATGGGCCAGAACATTTGCATCTAGGATCTTTCGATAATCATCGTGACAATGGCTGCTGTAGGTCAGGTGGCGGTTGTAAACGTTGAAATATTTAGATATTACTGATTGCTACCTGATTTTTCTTCTCCATGCGGTGCAGCCAATGAATGCGATCAATTTTTTTAAATTTTTTTGAAAAATATTTCTTGGGATTTGTGATAAAATTTTAAGGGTTAGCGAGGAACGCCAACTAAAATTTTCTTATTGATCCTTGTTTCCATAACTATCTTCGATTTAATCCTTGATTGTTGACTTTTGTTCCCGTAACTGTTCTCCGGGATAATCTTTGATTCATAATTGGATTCCATTTTGAATTGTTGTAAATGGGAGAGAAAAAAAGCAGCTTGTAGTTCTCGTAATGGTAGATGTCGTACATTATCATATAGAATATCAGAAAAGATATGACGAAAATAGCAGGGCTTAGATGGAAAGATTTCTCCTAAGATAAGAACAATTGAAATAGCTTTTTCGAATTCAAGAATTTTTTCTAATTAAAATTTTTATTTAGTTTAATTTTCGAATTTTTGTTCGGTTTTTGTATTTTGGGTGAATTTGCTCGGGTGAATTTTAACTTAATTTTCTATTTTACAATGTTTCCACATGAACTATCAACTTCTTTATATATAGCCTATTAACCTCTCTTCTGAATATTTTTGTCTTTTTCCGACTACTTTTCTTCCGATATTCTTTGTTTAATTTTTTTTTTTTTGAAAAATAGCTTTCGAGATTTGATTTCCAAATTCTTCGTTTCTTTATTTTACGCTTTATTTCGCAAAAACGCCAAGAAAGCTCTAATAGGGGAGTGTTTATGCCCTTCAAAAAAAGTAGTCTGAAATATTAGTAGTCGAGTTTGCTTTAATTTGCTTTACTATCCTAATATTTTGCATTAGTCATTATTGATTGTAAATAAACGGGTTTTGTGTTCTAAGAAATTGAAAAGTTCGAGTTAAATTTCTGACGTTGGTTTTAAAAACTGAGTGGAACATTAAAAAAAAGTTCCTAAAAACCACGCCACAATGTCAGTGATTGCTTGGCGCTCCTTTCGTCTTCGCTTTGTTTTAGAATTTGGGGTGAGGGATGCTGGTATGCTTTTATCGTGTAGGATTGAAAATTTTCGCACTGAAGTAGGGAATTTTGGACCTTTAATTCAGAGGTGGCGGGTTTCGAAAATCTTTTATATCAAATCAGGGCGTGAGAGGCCTAAATAGTGATTACTTAAGTCTTTAAGTCGAATTAAGAGAACAAAAAATTATATGTTAACAAATGATTTTAATCAAACATTTAGAACGATTTTCGATATTTGATTTCGTGAAATGAACGGAAATCTCGAAAATTTTAATTCAAATTAGTATGTTAGGAAATCTTGGGCAAAGTCGGAATCGTAAGTATCTCTTAACGATAATCTGAGGAGTTATTACTTGCAAAATTTGATGTTTTGTGTGTAGAGTCATAATTTTGTGTCATACATGCAATCTATGCAATCTTTGACTATCGACGTTTCAATTCTTTAATGTTTTTTGTTTGCTTTTTCAAAATTGTTTTTACAGCATTTGATCTGCAGACATTTGTTAATCAGTATCATCATGATATTCTATTTTTTGTGGAATTTCACAAATTTTTTATCTACCAGACTTCGAAGAGCTCCATCAATCAATTTTCCTTTTTTAAATCTGTTGTGCTGGACCATTTGATTATCTTAATTTATATTCTGATAGGTTTAAAATATTTTATGGAATTTATCGAGCTCTATAAACAAATTTGCAATGATATTTGTTTTATATTATGAGTCGTTCGGGCGGAATTGCTGCAACCTTTGTACTTGACGAAATTGTTTGTTGCGGATAAGATTCTGTCCTGAATCGAATATAGATAACAATTAGCAAAATTTTCTAGAGAGCATATACTGCTCAATATAGCTTTTCTAGATTTATATTAGAAACAGTAAATGTTTTGTGAACTTAATGTTGATAGGTTTGTGAGCGGTCTACCAATAACAGGTAAACATTCCGAATGGTAGCATAGTTTAATAATGTTGTTAAGCCATGTTTTTGTCGTATTAATTCGTTCTATGAAAAAGAAATTACATGCAAAGATTTAGCGATTTGGATTTTTAGCTGAAATTATAAAATTTGTTAATTGGCTCCGCAAAAATGTCCGGGTGCTTGGATCAATTCAATTATAATTGTGATATCGATTGGGATTCGAAACGAAATGCTGTCGCATCATGTATTTCGTCGGCCATGGCAAGAGATTCCTTATTTGCTTTTTCATTAGAACAGAGTAAGGACAAATAAGATTAAGAGGACCGATGGTAATTTGTAGCTCTAAATTAGAATATCGAAGAAAGATATTTTGGATAGTATGGTTATTTGAAAATTAGTGTTTTATATTTATTTATGACTTTTGTGAATAATTTTACTTTAATCTCTTATTTCAAATTGTGAATATCTGTGGTGTTCGAAGGTTTACTTGCGTCATATAGTTATTTAATCATTTTCTGGATTTCATTCTTGAATAAACATCACTTTAACTTGAATTCCGCCACAATATTAAATTTTGTAGTTCTTCATTGGGTGGTGGCTGTTGATCGATACGGCAGCAATTTACACTCCGGTCGGTCAATGGAACAATGTTTATATCATCGTTACTGTTTGTGGAACTATTGCGATGTTCATGTAAGCTTGGATTTTTATAAAAGCGTGTATAAGAGATCATCTGAAATATAGGTTTTGGTTCTTTGTGTGTTTTCCAACTGTATTCTAAATATCCACATTTTACACTCGTGATTTATGATGTAATTTATATTATTTCCATTATGATATCATAAATCTTTCACTGTGAAAAAATGTTATCGAGTTTTAGGGTGAATGCTGTTTCAAATAGCCAAGTTCGAGGAGAATCTATGAACGAAAATATTTTGGGTACCAAAGGTTAGATTTTCAAATGCAGTTATATTGTTCATAAATTTTTGTTTTTATATAGATTTTGCAGAAATAGTATCTGGTTGCTATGCGTACACAACTTTTACTGGATCTGTTGATCTTGGCCACATAAGTTGAGCATATTTTCCGTTCTTATAGCCGTGATTTACATCTTGTTCAGTTTATTGCAAATAATCATGTGATTTAGCAGCATGATTTGAAACTCAGGTTTTAATTATGATGAATCATGCTGGGTATAGTTGATTCATATTATCATCATATTATGCAATTATTTTATGTTTGGATTATGTAAGATGTTTCTTCATTGTAGTAATCCCATGTTTATTTATAATTATGTCCTGCTAACTTGTCATGATATTATGCTGGGTATAGTTGAGTCATATTTAATTTCACGATATCTTTACTCCTAATAATACTGTGTTATATATTGAACATTTCACATGCAATTTTTTTAAATAATGGTAATGTAAATTAACTTTCAGGATCTCGCTTATGGCTAATGCTCGGTTTTGTACTTTCATTTGCATCACTAGTTGCTGCTTTATGGATTATGTTTGCGGATTATGTACTGGTAACTGGCGATCATCCGATATGGCCTGGAGTTGCACTCTTCCTTCACAATTTTTTGATTTTCATCTCTTCACTTGTCTATAAATTTGGTCGAACTGAAGAACTGTGGGGATGATAAGTGACCACCGAATTTAGAAGGGCCGTAACTTACAGTCGACCAATTGTGGAATCGGTACTTGACTGTTGAACTATTCGGAGACCTTATAATATCGAATTACCTAAAGTGTATATACCAGTCCACTTTTTTTTACTTCGGGGATTGAACGACATTATTTAATAGTGAAACAAATTTCAGATCATAGAATTGACGGGTTTTTTCTAATTTTTCTCAAATAGGAACAATTCATAATTATCCCATTTTATTTTTTGCTGAAGACACTTACCGTTAGAATTTTTTTAAAGAGATTTCTTGAAATTGAAGCGGATTTTGAAACTTAAGAAAAAGTGAAAAAAAAGAAATATATGGAAACGCTATTATAGTACCCTTCGGGGGTGTAAAACGTGTGCTTTATTTCTTTTTATTACAATTAAATCTTAAGCCTATCGGAGAAGCTTGCCTACCTAACACCAGTTTTGCTGCATGTTTCGCGTCTTAATTTCGTCCCCTCTTATTTTATTATGTTGTTATTTTCTTTTCTTTCATATGCGCGTATCTTAACTGGAGAACCTAGGAAATAAGGTTGCTACCGATAGTTTTGATGTGACAACTTCTAAAATATGATCCAACTCCGGATTTTCACTCCCATTTTTTGTCATTCTTCAAAAGAAAAAAAGACTAATAAGCTAAATATAACAAACTGTATATATGAATAGATAAATTATTTACATTAAGAAAATATCATCTTCCGCGAGTGATTCTAAAACCGCTAGTAAATTTCGGATAAAAATGATGAAAAATTTCCAGCTTTTGGCATTGTAAGTAAAAACACGCTGGTTAGAATTCTCTGTAATTCATTCTCCGAATTTAAATAAGAAGTACTTTAAAATAGATGGAGACCGTCAGTCGTATGAAAAATTTTACCGTAATTTTCAACATAAAAATTCAGGCACAATATTATTCAAGAAGGAACTTAAAAATTTGGCAAATTTTGCAAAGTAAAAAGAAGAACGAGAGATAAGTATTGCTTTTCTAAAAAATAGAATTGATTTAATAAAAATGCTAAAAGCACAGAGAGATATCCCTGCGTCCCTAAACTTCAAACACCAAGGGGTGTTGGAAGTAAGTGACCGAAGCAATGAATGAATAATTAGGGTGATATCATGCTAAAAAACGAAGGGGAAAATTCTCGAGTGTCGAGAGTAATGTCTTTGATAAGCCGTACAAATAGCACAAAATATCGAAATAGTTGCAACTTCAAATGTAGAGAAATAGAACTTGAAGAATGAGTAGGACTGGATGCCCCACTGTAATGACCGAATGACAATCGCGTAAACTGAAATATCCAAGATAAGAAATAAAAACATTGAACATGTGAAGCTCACGAGTATTGGAAGACCCATAAATAAACAGAATACGACACATAGAGTTCAAAGTG